TCTATAATTATGTGCTATAATTTTTTTATTATAAAGAATTACTTAGAGCATTATCACCAAACGCTTCTATCGTTAGAAAGACACTTCGATTCAAAATCTCGTCAAAATATTGATATATCATTTCGTGGTAATCACTTGATTTACAATTCTGAATTCTATCGAATGTATATATACATTAGTTCTTTACGCTGTAAGTCTATGGCAACTTCGAACATATAAATACACTACAGTACAATTGTCTCAGGGAATTAGAAAGAAAATAAATAAAGCTTACACTAATATTTTGTTATGGAAAACGTTAACTAAGACTTGATTATATTTTATTTTATTTTATCACTTTCCCGATCATGGGTTGGATTGCCCCTGGCAGCTGTTTTCTCTGGGTCGCTTCGCTCGCAAGAATTTACGCGAGGGCCATCGACAAGAGGCTAGTCATTTATTAGGTTTTCTTCTCCGCAGTCCGCACAGACAGAAACAAGACAAAAGTCATTACAGTTGCCACCAGCATGGGGAGAAGCCTGCATACATATTTTTTTCAATTCAGTGTTTAAGAAATCGAGCTCCAAGTAAAAACATTCTTATGTAATCTGAGCAGCTTTATATCTACAGTATAAGAAATGTTACAATTTCGGGAAACATCGGGGAATTTGTTTCTTTTTTGGAACTTTTGAGATTTAAAGGTACTATGTTCCTTTTGCAGCCAACCTCAAATTCTGTAGAACTTTGCAGGAATTATGAATATGTCATGTATGTCCTATCTGTGAAATTTAAACGTTAGCAGTGTCTTCATATTCAAATTATGCAAGGAAACCCGTTTACTTGCTAGACTTCACTGTCAGACACTATTGAGTGACTGACTGGCTTTTTTCTTCTTTGGTAACAACATACATGAAAAGAGTTGTCTACATCAATAACCCACTTCTTGTGATGGCCAAGATTAAACTGATTGAATCTTTGCGCAGCATAAAACGTATGACCATTCGGTACAATTGTCTGAAAATCAAGACTATCACTTTTGGGCTCTATAGCCCTAAAGTCGATTTGACAACTAATAGTCATTATTTTTCCACTTGAATACATTTTCAAGCCTTACCTTTTTAGGGAAGTTCTAAATAAGTATTATCTTTCAAATGCAGTTGGAATTTAACTTTTTCATTTTTTTGGCCTGCAAATGGGACATAGTACCTTTAATATAAACATCCTGTAGAGTTCAGATGAGTGATAATAACAAAAGATGATTGCCAACATACGTTCACTTATGAATATAGGTTCTGAATCGGGATTGTGTGATGGAGAAAGAAATAGGCTTCACGATTGAATAAAACAAGTATGGATATATCGAACACTGTATTGAGTTTAAGTACTTTTATAAAACCTGAAGAGACACAAAGCCTGTATTCAATGATCACAGTTAGCCTAAATTTGTCAAAATTTAGTGTTATTTTTTGTTATAAGTTTGCAAATAACTTCAAAGAGAACTGTCCAACCGTTGATATAGTCATTACAAGGCAACTACTTGCACGTGTACATGAGAAACCAATACAACTGGAAATGATAACGGTAATAATACTGAATTGCACTTACCTCTATTTGACTCTGGTATGTATGTTATCCTAATAGAATCTGTCCTTATAAGTTCCTGACAGGTTGAAATATGTGATTATGAGCAAAGATATGATTCTGCACAATTTATATATCACCTCTATCAAAGCCACGCCCCCTGTTTTCTCATTGCCATGAATACAACGTGGGCAACCAATGGATAGCCAATAAGAGGCGCGCTTTCATGCCTAAAACGAATGAAATATTGGACAATCATTGGCCAGTAATATTGTCCAATGGGTTTACAGTGCGTTAAAATAGTGTTTTATTCCTTCTGGTTCATGATACTCGTGTGTGTGTTTGTGTATAGATGCGATTGGGTGACCTGATTGATTCATTCATTCGTACAAAATGCATGGAGATAAATATAGGGATATGGGATGTCTGTGCCAAATACAAAAACATGAACGCGTTACTACCCATGTATAAACTTTGAAAAGGGATCATAACAGGAACACGTATACATGTATATTATACACTGTCTTTTCGAGGTTCTTGTTAAAATTATGGTCAAGAGGTGACTCCACTATTTGCTGGGAAAATAGGAGTATTGGAGTCACTGAGGCCCATAGTTTAACCAGTACCCCGAAAAGAAGGCATGGCATATATCTTTTATATCCTGCAACATTTTTTTAAACAATTTTTTTTTAAAGAGGAAATAATTGTATAAAATGTTGTTTAACATAATTACAAACAGGCAATACAAAGGCACAAATTAATACCAACACGAAACAATACATATAAAATCATATACTTAAGTATAAAATTATGAAACAAAAACACAACAATGATTCTCTGTACAAGACGAAAGTATTTCAAATAATTTTGACCTCAAGCCCTTCTTTTCAAATAATTATTTTATTTGACGTTGAATACGGGTACAAAAAAAAAATGCGCAAAATAGTACCCCAGTGACTCGGCTCGGGGGTTGAACACGCGAGCCGTTGCTCAACCCGGCAATTTTATTTCATATAAACGGGAGCTTAGTGATCCGCGAGCCGTGTAGAACCCGCCATTTTGGATCCGCCAAAATGGCAGTTTTAACCCGCGAGCCGTGCTCAACGCGGGGCATTTTATGTCATGTAAACGGGATCACTGATGTAGGTTAATGACCTACGCACATTTGAGTGTCAAATTCCATGCATTGTGACATCATTGTGACCCGCGGGCCGTGTTGAACTCGCCTTTTTTTGTCCGTATCAATATGTTATTATACCTTTTCAATACTAAATTTGTATGTCTAACCTACAACATGGACCAGATTGCATTACAATCGAACTAGAAGCTCAAATACTAAGTTTTAGATGCTTACGTTTGTTTTGATGGCGTGCAATTACAAAATATTTGGTATTTATAAATTCAGTGTTTTCTTGATATGTAAATAATTACCAAACATGATATCGGCAATGGTGGTCACATCCACAACAAAACTTTAAGACGAAACGAGCAGGTTATGACAGCTTAGAGTACTAGATGAAATATTTATATCATTTTATATGACTCATATTATGCTTTTTTGTATTTTGTGTCGATCGCTGCATTTCTCTTTTTGGTTCACAGAAGCTGATGTCAACTTCTTTAGGATTCAATTTCCATGGAAACGGCCATTTGTTTTTGCTAGAGTAAGATCCTCATGTCCCTGTATCCTTCAGATTGTGCTATTCTCGACATGCTTGATGAGCTCCTGACGTTTCCTGTACGACTATAATTGAACATGAGTCCCTCGATTCTTTAAGACGTTCATCCTGTCACTGATCGGTCGTCTACAATGCGTCTTCAAGATGACAAAGACATTCATCCTGTGACTGATCGGACATCTCAAGGAACCATCGAGTTAGTCAAACAAAATTTGCATGGGCATCAATCTTAACTTGACAATATGTTGATCTCATGGGCTGTCCGCTTCATGACTTCTCGGGCCTTATTGGGGTTATCCCAGTAGACAGACAGCCCATAATACTAACAAAGACTGTCAGTCTCGTCGTGCGTCAGTCTGGTGAACCCTTGAAACGTTGTCAGGAGCTCCACGAGACTGACATTGTCGGTCTAATGGTCTATTGGATTAGTGAGGCCTCAAAAAAGATGTCAAAAGGCCTGTGAGACCGACATTGTTGGTCTTGTGGGCTCTCATCCCTAAGACCAATTACATTCTAGGATCACGTACTTGTTCATATAAGTGGATGAAGTAAGAACATTTGGTTTCATTATTCTAAAGAAATAAGTCCACATTAACTATGATTAATGACACCTCAATCTAAACTTTATTTAGAACATTAAAGGAAAATGAATTGACAATACATTAATACGTAACAATTTAATGTATATTTTAGATTATGTACATCCATTGCAATGTGAAAGCTCTAGTTGTTTCAGCATTATGACATATTATCAAATACATGTACAACCCGAATGAAATACACTCTTCCCCATCGTTAAATTGTTATCAAATTATTAAGAAAACAGCTCTGCATCAAAAACATCAATAAATTCATACTTGTTTGTACAGATAAGCAGCTTTTTATAAGAGAACAACAAAGTCAAAGTTGAGACGAATCAATCAAGGTGATCGAGCATACCATAGAAAATGTTAGGAAGATACATAACAAATTTGACACTGTTAACACTAAACATAACTATACAATAGAAGACTGAACTACAACTTTCTAGTATATGGTATAGTAAGTTAGTTTGTAGGCATATTTCATATCTCTCTTCTTAATGAACTCAATTCACTACCAATTGGTATCCCCCTAACCTCGCAGACTTGGACAAATAATTGATTTTTTTTAAGCGCTCTAATAGTTTAAAAGTAAAATTATCCTTGGTCATGTTGAATGGAGAAAATAAAATGAAAAACCTTTTTTTTTTCGTTTCGTCAATGTCTTCCTTTATGTATTAAATCAATAACGACTACAGATGTAAAGTGCTGAAGGCAGTTTTCCCCCAATACGTTTATGTAGGGCAATATGACAATAATTGTGTACATCTTACCAGCTCCTCATAAATATCATGTATGGAGCTTTCTCCCCATTCCAAGACTACACAATACATTTCCATTCCCACCTTTTAAACAGTTTTATCAGGCAATGAATACAATTCATTCATAAGTGTTCTACCTGTGTATTGGTCGATAAAGTGAAAAGCGAATATTATTTACAATATCCCTGTGTCTGTTTGTGAGTAGTTTTCATACCTTTCAGGTCTACATCAACGTACTGGCAATCATCAACTTATTGATACATACACTAAATTTTGATAAGAGAAAACACATCATGGAAGCAAGCTATAGAAGCCTGATACCCAGGTCATTTGTGTCATTCAAATGTAAATGTAATTAGAATATTAAACAGTTTTCTATCAGATTTGTTGAAACTCACATAAAAACAATGTCACATTGATTTTTCCTATAATACAAATTTAATTTAATCAAATACTTTCCATTCATTGTTTATATTACAGTTGGTAAGGGCACAAAATCTACCAAAAATTTGAAAACTTCAAGGTACTATAAATCGTTTTTGAACGTCTTTATTCTGCATTTTAATGTACTTTTAAGAATATGTCCATGCAGAAAATTCAGGACGGATTTTAAGTCTTGTTTAACGTGAATAGTACATTAAAGATATTCTAAACTTTTCTAATGATAAATATGTATAATAGAAGAAATCTTACCAAATCTAAAAGTGATTTCATTTATTTTCAATTCAATGTTTTATTCAATCAATACTTATTTATAAAACAAAAGTATGTTACTTACTTTTGCAAACACTGATGGTTTGGTTGTAAGAAATAGTTGTTTCCTTTTTAAAGTGTTATTATTTGATTTTGTATATCGCAATATTGCTAATTTTTCTGATTTATTAACATGCTTAGTGGCCAATAATAAATATTAAATATGATTTTGCATTATCGTGCGTTTATCTCACAATACTTTCCTGGTTTAATAAACGACACAATATTATGATTAATATTGTTGCTAGTATCGTTATTATTATTATTGTTATTAGATTGAGTACATAAGTGCTTGCCATATTTTGATTTAAAAAAAAATCATATTTCAAATTTCACATAAATCTTATTATCCGTATGATTATTCAAAATATCCTAGTTCAACCATTAGTCTTTCATCAATTACAAAAGTCAATATACAATGTATTAACATTATGATTGTGAATGGAGTGACTGTTATAATAAATGGTAATATGAGGACAGCTTTTGACATTTGAGTTTTGTTAGGTTCTATAAGTGATGAGCATGATGACCACTGAGAAAAGAGATGTCAGCCATGTCACACAGCTAGAAGTGAGACCCTCAGAGCTGGATTTGTTGTCGTTGCATTTTGATTCAGTACAACAGGATGTGCAACTGGTAACACCATTAGCCATAGTGCAATAAGGTCCACCACCTTCATGCAAGTCTTCACATGGCTCATCTGTACATCCACGCGACACAACCGTGTGTGATGAGTTTGCATAATGATCAGTCTGCAAGAAATACAAAAATTGTATTATGGCTATGTAACTTAGTCTTTCATGTTTAGTTGTGTTTGTGGCAGTATTCTTTTTTTTAACGATATTGTAAAATTTTCATCTCGTCATTTCATTTCTTCAAAATACAAATCGGCTCTTTCCCTCATCCAGTTAACTTATAGTGTTGTCTTTTTGTTGTTGATAGACGTCCCACTATTTCTTGTCTCTTGCTTTGTAATCTACTATTTTTTTGTCTTTGATTAAAAAACAAAAACCAAACAAACAGACAAACTATCTCTTACCTCAACTTGCCCAAGTATATGAAGACAGAATTAAAAAAATATAAATAAGACGATAAATTATACAATATAAAGATGAGGTGAAAATTTAAGATTAACGTTTATTTTGTATAAATTCATGTCTTCTGTCTCACAACATCAATTTACAGATATTTCCTCATTGTATTTTCACTCATCAACCCAAACTATATAAACATGCCAGATCAACCCTGTAAAGAAATGTAAATGTCAAAGTATTCAAATACCCAACAACGCTGTCCTTCATAGCATGTAACAGTTGATACTCCGGAACCGCTTGCAAGGTCATCAGCAGTAGAGCAAACATCCGTTATGGAGTTAGTCGAACAGGAATGACATTGAAGAGTCTGCAAGGAAAATTTAAATGCACATGGTATTAATTTCAAAGATATGGAAAGAATGTAGTATCTAATTATATTATACTTGGATAGGTGGTCAGCATGTATCGCTAAAAATGACCAAATACTATCCATTCCTTGTTCTACATCAAAGGTGAACCAAAACTGTATTGATACAAAATGTGTTTAGTGTAAAAAAAATGTAAACAGCAGAATTATCAAATATTTTCTAAGCCAGGCGCGGATCCAGAATTTCTTAGGGGGAGGCCCTATTTTGAAATCAATTTAAAATTTAGTCTGCTGAAATTTGAAAATATATATATTTTTTGTTGCCCCTGGAAACTTGAAACTTGTGCCAGCCGATGTTAAGCTCAGTGGGGGGGGGGGGGGGGCAAAAAAGAAAAGGTAAATACTTTTTTTTTAAATTTTTGCGTGACTTTTATTGTTGCCAGGGGGGGGGGGGGAGGTCCGCTCGGCCCCCAGAATATCAACTAGTTGTAGTCTGTAGGCAACAAGTAAAAAGATTTTTCTTACAAGATCTCTTTCATAGACCTTCCTAACAAAGAATTATATATTTTAGGTCATTATTGTTGGTAAAGACATATACATAGTTACAACAAATTTGTACAATATCGAAAAAAGCCTCTCCCCATCAAGCATTACAAGATTTCATTTCACTTACCCCTTGCATTCTTGTGGCCGGGGTAGTTGCTGTAGTGATGGAAGTTTGATAAGGTATCATTATTGATATGATTTACAGACAATACATAATTAATGCTATGGTCAAATAACCCAAAAGTAGCCTGCTTGGCGGCCGAGCGGCGAGTTTTTAGCCAATTTTCCCCGGCCACCGAGCGGCGGCCGCCCAGTAGTTAAAATTCGGGCGGCGCCTGCTCACTTTCACTTGCCGCCCGAACTACGCTCGGTGACCGGGCGGTCGCCGCCCGGGCTCCGACCTAATCGAGCGTTCATCGTCGAGCGTTTTAGGTCAAAAATCGAAGTCGCTAGGTCAAAGGCTGTCGAGCAATCGCCGCCCGGTCGCCGCTCGGTCGCCGCTGGGAGATCAGTCGGTCACTGGTCGGCGAGTCCAAAATCGGTCGGCAGCCTTTGACCTAGCGGCTTCGATTTTTGACCTAACTCGCTCTGCGGCGAACGCTCGATTAGTTCGGTGCCCGGGCGGCGAACGGCCGGGCACCGAGCGTATTTTGGAGCCGGCGCCGATCACTGGCCGGCCGCCGTGCAATATCTTTAAAATCAGTCGGCAGCCGGTGGGAGACTGCTCGGGAATGGGTGGGTGACCGGTGGGTCACTGCCGGGACACCGCGCGGAAAAGTTCCGCGATTTCGCCCAGTTTTGACTTAAAATCGACCGGCGACCGACGGGAGATCGACAGGCACCTCCCATGCATCGCTGGGGCTTTACAGCCTGGTCGACTTCTCCAAAAATCGCTGGGCGATGCCTAAATTCCAGCGGGGACCGAGCAGGCAACTAATCAGTTGGTTGTCGCTCTGATTTGTGACCATATCATTAGTTTCCATACCTTGCTAGGTGATTCAGGAGGGGAAGGGGGGTACTGAACGTTTCCAATACCCTTTGGAAAATAGGGCAGAGTCCCAAAGGGTTAGCGAGATGTCAAAGTTGTGAGTGGATATTCCAGAAATATCGTTATAAAAAAATTTGTTAAAATGAGGATTGTTCTGATCTTTGGAACGGTCTTATATTTCTTCATTCAAATTTCGTCCTTTTTTCCCCATAGTGTTATTCCTTCGTGTATAACCCCTGTCTTCCCTTTCTGACAGAACTAAATGAATTGTGTTTGAATAAAAAGCGTTGCCGCCCCGGACTCTTTCAACATTCTCCTTTTTAATCGACACTGTAGCTTGATTGACACTTTTGTTATTTTGGAAGATAGAATGATTCTTATAGCAAAGTTTGTTCGTCAGTTCCTCGCGTTGAATCAACTAATAAAGGCCAATGAACTAAAGTTAACATTGTGACTTTTCATTGATGATCGAATGGAGATGCGAAGCCTGAGTTGAAGGTTGAATCCCCCCGCCCCCCATCGTGGATACGTGCCTGAGTATGAGATGGTCTGTATTTAAGTTCTTTTAATGACAATGAGAACGACTAAAAGAACCTGAACACGATGATGATGATGGTGATAATCATAAAGATAAGTGTATTGATAACGACTGTGGTGATAATAAATTACGATGACTACAATGTCAATATATCAAGTTTATACTTCAAACTTAAGTTCAAACCGAGTCGCTCTCCCGTTTTTTTGTATAGATATGAACATAACTTCAGGACAAAGTAAAAGCATATACTGTCGTCATTGACATCCATTGAGCAGTTTCGGACCAATTGAGACGATAAGTGTACCAAGCTTCAAAGGGATGGACCGTGCCGTTTTTAGATGTATAACCTTATGTATGTAGTTGAATTATTAAAGGTTCGAAAGATTCAAAAGCATTTGGAAACTATTCTTTGATAATTACCTGTGTAGAGAATGACGGTGTTATTGACATTCATTGAGCAGTTTCGGACTATTTGAGGCGATAGTATAAGTGTACCAAGATTCAAAGGGATGGACCGTGCCGTTTTTAAATGTATAACATTTTGTGTGTCATTGAATTACTTAAAGTCCAAAAAATTCAAAAGCATTTAGAAACGATCCTTTGATAATAACCTTTGCAGAAATAATGACGGTGTTGAAGCAAAATAACGCATATGGGCTCAAATTAAAATGCCGGGAATTTTCGAAACTTTTTTAAATTGACATATCCACTCGACCACGACACCTTTCCCCATTTAGCCTCTTTATGGAGGCCTTCCTGACATAACATGAATTGAAGTATGCAGACTGGATAAGAAGTCTTGTAGTTTAGTCATTGATGATATTTTAAAGGGACTCGGTACCATTCTTCAGATGAAACAAAATGGTGCTGAGGTAGTGACGCCAATGCAGTGCCTTTAAAAACGACCCACGTAGCAATCCACTAAGACGACGTGCAAATCTAAAAATCCCTAATGCAGAGACACCATTACAAAAGCCTTGACAAACGAAGACGTACCAAACACACACACGTCTCAGTCACCTAAGAAAATAACCAATACCCAATTACACAAAAGTCGCACAGAACGACAGCAATACACAGAGCAAAACCTCCGTCGTTCAAAACGTCATATCCGTAAACCAGATAAGTTGGACTTATAAAAACAAACAGAACACACTTTGTATTTAGTTCTTACTGTGTATCATAATGTAATTGATAAGACGAAAAGATGAGATCAGAGTAATATGATGTGATTTGATAATTATGCTCAATATTGTTTGGTAAACTGTAAATTGAAAAATCGCGTAGACTGATATTTTGCTCAGTTGAGAGGAAGGGCGGGGGCGGGGGGGGGGGGGGGGTAGTGACCACTTATTATTATTTTTTGTTTGTCCCAGCAAATGGGAAAATTGCCTCGACCAATATTTCGCTCAGTTGGGGGGGGGGGGGGAAGGGTAAGAGCATTAATTCTATTTTATGCAGCACAACTCCTCCCACACTATTGAGCAAAGAAAAATTAAGGTGGGTTTTAACCCCAACAATGCGTTCGCGACTGATGTAGAGCCCCCGACTCAATGTTATTGGAGACTTACAGTTTTCAACACACTACTTTTTGATCGACTCTGTAGCTTGATTGATACTTTTGTGATTTTGGAAGATAGAATGATTCTTATAGCAAAGTTTGTTCGTCGGTTCCTCGCTTTGAATCAACTAATAAAGGCCAATGAACTAAAATTAACATTGTGATTTTTCATTGTTGATCGAATGGAGATGCGAAACCTGAGTTGAAAGGTAGGAAATTTGAAGAAATCTTACCTCCGTCACAGGTTGAACCAGCTGGACAGGTGCACGTACCCGATTCACAACTCTTTTCGTCCTGGCAACCCGCGTTATCGGTACAGGTGACTGTAAAGAGCCAATCACAATTATGAACAAGTATGAGATGGTCTGTATTAAAGTTCTTTTAATTACAATAAGAATGACTAAAAAGAACCTGAACACGATGATGATGGTGATAATCATGAAGATAACTGTATTGATAACGCCTGTGATGATGATGAGTTACGATGACTACAATATCATTAAACCAATTTTCTACTAATCATTTATTAGTTTCTAACCGAGTCGCTATTCCGTTTTTGTTATGGATATGAACATAACTTCAGGACAAAGTAAAAACGGCTTCCTGTCGTTATTGACATTCATTTAGCAGTTTCGGACTATTAGAGGCGATAATATAAGTGTACCAAGATTCAAAGGGATGGACCATGCCGTTTTTAAAAGTATAAACTTTTGTGTGTAATTGAATTACTTAAAGTCCAACAGATCCAAAAGCATTTAGAAACCAATTTTTGATAATAACCTTTGCAGGAATAATGACGGTGTTGAGGCAAAATAAGGCATATGGGCTCAGATTAAAATGCGCGGGAATTTTCGAAACTTTTTTTTGTTGACATATCCACTCGACCACGACACCTTTCCCCATTCAGCCTCTTTATGGAGGCTTTCCTGACATAACATGAAGTCATGTATGCAGACTGGATAGGAAGTCTTGTAGTTAAGTCATTGATGATATTTTAAAGGGACTCGGTAACATTCTTCAGATGAAACAAAATGGTGCTAAGGTAGTGACGCCAATGCAGTGCCTTAAAATAACGACCCACGGAGCAGTCCACCAAATCGACGTGCAAATCTCAAAGTCCCTAATGCAGAGACACCATCACAAAATCCTTGACAAGCGAAGACATACCAAACACACCCACGTCTCAGTCACCTAAGAAAATAACCCAGACCCAATTACACAAACGTTACAAAGAACGAGAGCAATACACAGAGCAAAACCTCCGTTGTTCAAAACGTCATATCCGTAAACCAGATAGGTTAAACTTCTAAAAACAAAACACACTTTGCAAATAGTACTTGTTGTGTATCTTAATGTAATTGATAAGACGAAAAGATAAGATCAGAGTAATATGTTGTAATTTGATAATTATGCTCAATATTGTTTGGTATTAACTGGAAAATCGAGTCGACTGATATTGTTGTCAGTGGCGAGAAGGGGCGAGGGGTAGTGACCACTAATTATTAAATTTTTGTTTATCTCAGCAAATGGGTAATTATATCGCCTCAACCAATATTTCGCTCAGTTGGGGGGGGGGGGGGGGGTTAGGAGCATTATTTGTTTGTTATGCAGCACGACCCCTACTCCACTTTTGAGCAAAAAAAAATCAAAATGAGGTGGGTTTTAGCCCCAAACCCCCCCCCCCCCACCCTGCGTTCGCCACTGATGTAGAGCCCCCGACTCAATGTTATTGGAGATTTACAGTTTTCAAAACACTCCTTTTTGATCGACTCTGTAGCTTGATTGATACTTTTGTGATTTTGGAAGATAGAATGATTCTTATAGCAAAGTTTGTTCGTCAGTTCCTCGCTTTGAATCAACTAACAAAGGCCAATGAACTAAAATTAACATTTTGATTTTTCATTGTTGATCGAATGGAGATGCGAAGCCTGAGTTGAAAGGTAGGAATAATCATACGTAACTCATGGGTGGCGGACGTGTTTTTTGTTAGCTCCGGCAAGCTAACGTACTGGAGCGAAGGAGCACACTAATTGACTTGACTGATATACCGTTATACAAGGGAATATAGTTGATGTATATTCTTTTGATATATTTTGGACTTTACACTCTCATCGAGGTCTTTTTGGAGTACATTGGAACGTTTTTATTATATACTGGATCTCCTGCGTTGTCCCACAAGCATGCCTGGCACGAGAAGTTCGACGAAGACGGAGGACTTGGTCGTGGATGTTCGAGAAGAAGTACGCAAGGCGTTGGAAGTAAACCATGACCTCCTCGACACTCTCGTGGCGAAGGTAAAGCAGACTCTTATAGATGATCTTACCAACACCATCACCACGAGAGTAGCTGATGCACTAAAAGAAACTTATGGCTTTGAACTAGGTGAGAAGGATAAAAGAATTAATGACCTCGAGCAGAGAGTCGACGATCTTGAAAATCAACTGGATGACGCCGAATAATACTCTCGAAGAAACTGCCTAGTGTTTCACGGCCTTGATGAAAAGGAAGGAGAAAATACCGACGAGGTGCTTAAGAATTTCTGCAAAGACAAACTTGGAGTATCCATAGAAAACAGCGACATCGACAGGTCCCATCGACTCGGAACGCAGAAGCAAGACAAGAAGCGTGGAATAATCATGAAATTTTCTAACTACAATACGCGTAATGTCGTTTACCAGAGTCAGAGTAAGCTACGTAGATTAAAGGCCCCGCCATTTTATTACATCCAAGAAAATTTGACCAAGGCAAGGTCTGACCTCTTCTGGAAAGTCAAGAAAAACTACAAGGATCGTCTTAATAGTATATGGACCCAAGATGGACGAATAAAAGTAATCACGGCTGACGATAAGCGAATTACTTTGACGAGGGTGAGTCATATCGAGAAAATCTAAGTCATACTTTCGACGTCTTAAATGTATGTAAATCGAACCTGATCACATTCTTTGTGTCATTGCTACATACTACCCATATACCCAGCTCATCTATTTATTCTTATTCGTGTTTACTCAGTATTATATCATTTTTTGGTTCTACAATGATTAGCTGACTATTTTGTGTTATTGCTTATTTTATAATAACTCATGTATATTTTCTATATTCACGAATTTGTAATATTTTTTTACATTCCAGAAAATGGCGATCTTCTCTGATTTAGACGTATAAGTGATCATTGTCGTTGATCCCACTGATGTCAGTATTGGGCTGAATAACTTTTTTTAGTGTATGTGTACCATCTCACAATACCTTATTCATTATACAACGAGAAGGTTCTTCTCAGGGTGAATTGTTCAGTGGTATAACAAGAAAGAAGATTTGGGAGTTGCTACTCCACGCCCAAAATGTCTATGCGGATTAACTGCTTTTTATGTACTTCTGTTGCACATTGAAACTAATCGCTATGCAGTGATGTTCAACTATGGGTCATTGACACTGACTGCATAGACTCAGATTGTAATAGTAGTTCTCTACTTCGTATAACTCTCTCATACTCTATATACTCTATATATAATGAGTAGACTCTTTTGTCATGTTGCTCTTTTGTATTATATGACCCTGGATTCTAGGAGTATTCATGGTCCACTCTGGTGCTTCTGGTTCTTTATCTTTATGTTTTGCCACTTAATGATATGCAATAATACCTATTGATCATTAGGCCTGCCTGCAGGCAAGTCTTCTTTTTTTTCTTTTTTTTTCTCTCTCTCCTAAATGACCGTAATGTGATATCATGCAAGGCTACTGCTTTGAATGAACCTGTAAAGCTAATAATAATCGTTCTCTGTTATAACATACATGTATTGATATGTGATTTAGTACTGCTCCCGCTCCAGTTTCGGTTTGTCTTCACCTGTGTGTGCAAACATATTTATATATATATATATTGCTGTTGTTATTATATATATATATATATATATATCCATTTTTATTATTTTGTTTTGACATATATTTGTTTTTGTTTTTGTTTTGTTTTTTTGTCACTTGGTTTCATATTGATTTTGTATTTTCTGTTTTCTTTTTGTAATGAACATCAATTTTGTATGTGCATTATGTAATAATCTTGTTAAAGTCAACCATAGAGCACTTCTTTGTACGTCTTGTAATGATTGGGTTCATATCTCCTGCGCTAATATTCCTGTCAAAGTGTACAATGAAATGTCTGAACTATTTTTGGAATGGCAGTGCCCGAAATGTATCATGAAAGTATTGCCATTTTATGATGAATCTAAATGTACCTGAATGTATTACAATTGTATCAAATTCTCATAAGGATAAATCAGAGGTCACCCAGAAAAATCAAGATATTAGCTTCAACAAATATTCAGAATTATCTATTAAGGGTCTGAAATTTGTTCATCTTAACATTGCCAGTTTACTTAAGAATATTGATGAATTGCGATCTATTGTTATGAAGAACCAAATTCACATTTTTGCATTCAATGAAACTAGACTGGATGATAGCATCAGAAGTTCTGAAATTGAAATACCTCATTATTTCATTGTCATAAAGGACAGAAATAGATCTGGAGGTGGAGTTGCTATTTATATACATGGAAGTCTTATTTATTCAGTTTAAGAGCACGATTCTCTTTCCCACCTTGAGGCCATACCATTATTATTCGACTAAAGAATACAAAACCTATTATCTTTATTAACTGGTACAGACCTCCTAATTCAAAAAATGAAGTTTTTAATTATTATGATGAACTTATTTCTTTTGCATCTGGATTTAATTGTCATCTGATAATGATGGGTGATACAAACTGTGATATCTTAAAACAACCTTTACATCTGAAAACTAAGAATTATAATCAAATTAATAATATATACTCAATGAACCAGATAAATACCTCTAAACCCACTCGAATTGTGAATAGTTCCTCATCCTTAATAGACCATACACACTAAGAAAAAAATGGTGCAACTGTGCACCTTTAGGGGTTCAAACCGATGCAACAATAGCAGCACCTTTAGGGGTTAAATCCTGCACCCTTTTTAAAGGTGCAATCGTGCACCCTTTAAAAGGGTGCCAGATTGAACCTTTTAGGGGACATGTTAGTATCCTTTATGGTTCAATCCTGCACCTTTAGGGGTGCAAACCGATGCAACAATAGCAGCACCTTTAGAGGTTAAATCCTGCACCCTTTAGGAGGGTGCCAGAATGCACCTTTTAGGAGACTTGTTAGTTCCCTTAATGGTTTAATCCTGCTCCTTTAGGGGTGCAAACCGATGCAATAGCAGCACATTAAGGGGTTCAATCCTGCACCCTTTAAAAGGTGCAATTCTGCACCCATCATCAAGGAATACTCGTGACATTTGCTCGTACACAACTACATATTAAACATGCATGATGTTTCTTGGTTAGTAATCATATAATCAATATATATATTGCTAAAACGTGAATGTAATTGTAACATGATCAGACGAAATAATCTATTGGTTAATGATTGCCGAAGGAAAATACAAATCACAAAACTGATGTGCATTGTCATAGTTTGCTTAACAAATCATATGATAAATGTATTTTTATGTGAACACGTGGAAAGTAATCATGAATATGCATGCAATATGCAAACTTTTATTTTGCACCTTTTTGGGTCGTTAGGGTTCATTTTTGTGGGAAGGGTGCAAAATCGTATATTGCACCCTTTTTTGAACCCCTTTTCCTTCAATAGGGTTCATTTTTATGTAAAGGGTGCAAACTCTTATTTTGCACCCTTTTTTGCACCCTTTTTTGCACCCTTTTTTCTTAGAGTGTATAGTAACTAATTCCGTTGATAAAATTAAGTCCTGGGGGTAATTCACAGCGGGTTAAGTGACCACTCAATTAGTTTCATTGTATGGAAATCCAATTGTAATAATAATAAGATGAATGATAAATACATTACTTTTAGAAAGTGTACTAATGTAGATGTGGAAGCTTTTAAGTCCGATGTGAAAAAGCAGCCTTGGGGTGAAATTAAAGTATATGAAGACATTGATGAAGCAGCAAACAAATGGAAAGAACTTTTGATAAATGTGATAGATAAATTTATGCCTTTAAATAAGCAATCCCCCTGGTTAAATGAATCAATTTTTTCTTTGATGAAAAATAGAGATAAAATGAAAAAGAGAGCAATTTTGAAGAAAAGATGAAAATATTTGGATCGAATATAGACGTTTGAGGAATAAAGTAACATCAGAAAATCGAAAGCTTAAAAAGACACATTTTACTGACAAATTATATGAATGTCAAAACAAAACTCAATCTTGGAAGGTTTTAAAATCACTTACTACAAATGTCAGCTCTTCATCAACTATTACCATTCATTCTAATGATACCCGGACTGCTGCTAATAAATTCAATTTTCATTTTGCAAATGTAGTGTATGACTTAATCAATGATTTGTCGGAACAACATGCAAACTATTCTGTTAATACTTCTAATCCTGATAATTTGTTAATTTTTCATACAGTAAATGAAAATGATGTTTTAAAGGTAATACTGAAGTTAAAAAACAAGAAATCTGTTGGTGTTGATGGTATATCCACATTTATCTTGAAAACTTGTGTAAACGAATTGATCGAATCTATAACATATTTAATTAATAAGTCGATTTTAGATGGTAAAGTACCAACATCATGGAAGATAGCTAAGGTAATCCCTCTACATAAAAAAGGAGATAAATCAAATCCTGATAACTATAGACCAATTTCTCTTCTTCCTTGTATTTCTAAAATCCTCGAAAAAATCGTCCTAATTCAGGTACTTAAGTTCATTCAAGTAAACAAAATGTTAGTACCTGAGCAATCAGGATTTAGAGCTAAGCACTCAACCATAACGGCATTGTTGAAAGTGACTGACGACTGGCTCCAAGCCATGGATAACGGACATTATACCGGGGCGGTATTCATCGATTTACATAAAGCCTTTGACATGGTCAATCACGAGCTACTTTTATCTAAGCTAGCTCGGCTTGGTATAGTTGGTAAATCTTTGGACTGGTTTTCAAGTTATTTGTCGGAAAAAAAAATCACTACTTTTTTAAATAAAACATTTTCGGATGAATATTCTATTAACAACGGGCTGCCCCAGGGGAGTTTGATTGGGCCAATTATCTTTGTATTATTTATTAATGACTTAGCTTCTGTATTTGACAAATGTGCTTTTCACTTTTATGCAGATGATACTGTTTTATATTTCTCTGATAAAGATCCAAAAGTTGTTGAGACAACTTTGAATTCCGAACTTACCAAAGTTAGTAAATGGATGAATAGAAATAAGTTGAAAATAAATTGTACTAAAACTGTATGCATGTCTTTAGGAACAAGACAAATGCTAGCAAGGCACGATGTTTTAAATTTAAGAATTCAAAATACGTATATTAAAAATGTAGAAACAGTAAAATACCTTGGAATTATTATTGATAAAGAGCTTAAGTGGAATTTTCATATTGAACAAATGTGCTCTAAAATTGGTAAAATGATAGGTTTTCTTGGTAGACTGAGACATTCTGTAAATGAATCTATTTTAAAAATTGTTTATTCCCCAATTATTCTTCCCCATTTTGATTACACCGATATAATCTGGCAGTCTGCCCCCAAAAAATATCTAGATATGTTGCAAAAACTTCAGAACAGGGCAGGAAGAATCATATTGAAAATCAATCCATACTCTCATCTTTCCACTTCTCATATCCATGAAGTTTTAAATTGGAAATTACTAAGTGTCCGCCAAGAAGAACATATATATATTATGATGTACAAAATTTTAAATAATCTTATTCCTGAATATATCAAACGTCCCATACCAATCAAATCAGACAGGTATTTTTTCCGTTCTATAGGTAACCTAAGTCTCCCTAGACCGAAAACCAATAATTGTAAAAGAACATTTTATTATAGAGGAACTTCATTGTACAACAAATTACCAGCTAATACCCGTAGTGCTTGTACGATTCAAAATTTCAAATCCAATCTGACAATTTTTTTCACAATATCTTAGAAATATGCTCAATAATCTGTTTACCTCTCTTTCCTTTTACTTTATTTGTTCAGGGTTCGTGCGGTTCTGTATCCCTTATAAAATCCACTGAATTTTAATTATAAATGTAAATTGAATTTATTAGACTCGAAAATATATTATACATGTTCAGTTATATCCTTTATGTTTGTTTAATGTAATGTTTTCATTGAATTTATATAAATCTAATTTCCCTATGATTGTATAAAATATCTGATTTTTATGTATCAGCTTTTTTTATCCGGACCCCATGGAAGAACAGGCGTATTTTGTCAATACGCCTGAAATGGGCTATCCGCCGTATATCTCATTTATGTATGTATTTGTATCTTGTGATGATTTTATACGGAAATAAAAACAAACAAACAAAAAAGAAATCTTACCTCCGTCACCTCCGTCACAGGTTGAACCAGCTGGACAGGTGCATGTACCCGACTCACAAGTCTCTTCGTACCGGCAATCCGCGTTATCGGTACAGGTGACTGTAAAGAACCAATGACAATTATAAACAAGTATGAGATGGTCTGTATTTAAGTTCTTTTATTGACAATAAAAACGACTAAAAAGAACATGAACACGATGATGATGGTGATAATCATAAAGATAACTGTATTAATAACGCCTGTGATGATGGTGAGTTATACGATGACTACAATATCATTAAACTAATTTTCTACTAATCATTTATTAGTTTCAAACCGAGTCGCTATTCCGTCTTTGTTATAGATATGAACATAACTTCAGGACAAAGTAAAAACGGCTTCCTGTCGTTATTGACATTCATTGAGCAGTTTCGGACTATTTGAGGCGATAATATAAGTGTACCGAGATTCAAAGGGATGGACCGTGCCGTTTTTAAAAGTATAACCTTTTGTGTGTAATTGAATTACTTAAAGTCCAACAGATCCAAAAGCATTTAGAAACCATCTTTTGATAATAACCTTTGCAGAAATAATGACGGTGTTGAGGCAAAATAAGGCATATGGGCTCAGATTAAAATGCGCGGGAATTTTCAAAACTTTTTTAATTTTTTTGGTTTTGTTTGTTGACATATCCACTCGACCACGACACCTTTTTCCATTCAGCCTCTTCATGGAGGCTTTCCTGAAATAACATGAAGTCATGTATGCAGACTGGATAGGAAGTCTTGTAGTTAAGTCATTGATGATATTTTAAAGGGACCCGGTAACATTCTTCAGATGAAACAAAATGGTGCTAAGGTAGTGACGCCAATGCAGTGCCTTAAAATAACTACAAAATATTAAACACGCTACACAAGCGCGCAGCATATATTGTAAGTGGATATACTTGGGAAACCTCATCGGAAACAGTTTTTCGAATACTAGCCTGGCCTACTCTAAAAGAACTGTTTAACAAGTCAATATCATGCATGGTGTATAAATGTGTAAGTGGGGTAGCACCATCCCAGTTAAGTAGTAAATTTGTTCTAAATGACAATGTCTCTACACGTGTAACACGAAGCACCAACAGGTTGTTATTACGTATCCCTCAATGCAAAACTCAATTTTATCGGAGGACATTTGTACCAGTTAGTGTAAATGAATGGAACTGTTTGTCCGATGAATGCCGATCTGCCCAGTCCTTAGCCATTTTCAAAAAATGTATCAAACCTTGCAATAAATAGCTTTTTTAAAATGAAGGTGGAGGAGGGGGTCGCAGTGAGGTCAAATTCATTTTATGCTTGATTTTAATGTAATTTTTAGTTTGTAAACAGGTGTTAAATAGGTGTGTGTGTTAGCTTTCGTTACCCCTGTCATTTCTATATATAATATTGTTCATTGTCATTTTATGTTGTTTTTTAAACAGAGCCCTGTTGTAAACCAGCCTATTTTAATGTTTTTAACAATGTTTTGTAATGATTTTTAGCTGAACATGTTACTCTGTATAAAGATGCGAAATAAATAAATAAATAAAATAAAACCCACAAAGCAGTCCACCAAATCGACGTGCAAATCTAAAAGTCCCTAATGCAGAGACACCATCACAAAATCCTTGACAAGCGAAGACATACCAAACACACCCACGTCTATTAAAGTCACCTAAGAAAATAACCCAGACCCAATTACACAAACGTCACAAAGAACGAGAGCAATACACAGAGCAAAACCTCCGTCGTTCAAAACGTCATATCCGTAAACCAGATAAGTTGGACTTATAAAAACAAACAGAACACACTTTGTATATAGTTCTTGCTGTGTATCATAATGTAATTGGTAAGACGAAAAGATGAGATCAGAGTAATATGTTGTGATTTGATAATTATGCTCAATATTGTTTGGTAAACTGTAAATTGAAAAATCGCGTAGACTGATATTTTGCTCAGTGGAGAGGAAGGGCGGGGGGGGGGGAGGGGGTAGTGACCACTAATTATTATTTATTTGTTTGTCCCAGCAATTGGGAAAATTGCCTCGACCAATATTTCGCTCAGTTGGGGGGGGGGGAGGGGTTAGGAGCATTAATTCTATTTTATGCAGCACAACCCCTCCCACACTATTGAGCAAAGACAAATTATTAGGTAGGTTTTAACCCCAACCCCCCACCCATGCGTTCGCGACTGATGTAGAGCCCCCGACTCAATGTTATTGGAGACTTACAGTTTTCAAAACACTCCTTTTTGATCGACTCTGTAGCTTGATTGATACTTTTGTGATTTTGGAAGATAGAATGATTCTTAAAGCAAAGTTTGTTCGTCAGTTCCTCGCTTTGAATCAACTAATAAAGGCCAATGAACTAAAATTAACATTGTGATGTTTCATTGTTGATCGAATGGAGATGCGAAGCCTTGGTTTGGTTTTGGTTTTATTTTCCGTATAAAAATTCAATACATACAAGAATACAATTTACAAATAATACAAATCAAGAATTAAAAAACGGCTGGAAAGCTCTATTCAGAGCCATTATTAAAATAGCTCTGTTCTTCCTAGAGGTCCAGAAATAATCAAACATAGAAATAAAACACAAAATATTACAAAAATATAATATTACAAACGCACTATCTACAACCCCTCCCAAACCCTCTATAACACATTATGAATACGATTGTTACCATCCCTCCCCCCTCCCCGTTTACACCAATCATACTTGTTCATAAATTTATCTAGGCGTTGTGGCGTAGTTGAAAGGTAGGAAGTTTGAAGAAATCTTACCTCCGTCACAGGTTGAACCAGCTGGACAGGTGCACGTACCCGATTCACAAGTCTTTCCGTCCTGGCAACCCGCGTTATCGGTACAAGTGACTGTAAAGAGCCAATGACAATTATGAACAAGTGTGTGTGTGTGTGTATTTGGTTTTTACAGACGTGTATCAATCAGATATGATTATTTACGTCTGGGGACCGACCTTTAACGTCACCATCCGAAAGACGTGACTCAGTTTCGAACCTGCATCCTCGGCTGAATCAGTTTGTAACTTCCACTGTTAGCTGGATTACAGGCGCACGCCACAACGCCTAGATAAATTTATGAACAAGTATGAGATGGTCTGTATTTAAGTTCTTTTAATTACAATGAGAACGACTAAAAAGTACCTGAACACGATGATGATGGTGATAATCATAAAGATGACTGTATTGATAACGCCTGTGATGATGATGAGTTACGATGACTACAATATCATTAAACCAATTTTCTACTAATCATTTATTAGTTTCAAACCGAGTCGCTATTCCGTTTTTGTTATAGATATGAACATAACTTCAGGACAAAGTAAAAACGGCTTCCTGTCGTTATTGACATTCATTGAGCAGTTTCGGACTATTAGAGGCGATAATATAAGTGTACCAAGATTCAAAGGGATGGACCGTGCCATTTTTAAAAGTATAACCTTTTGTGTGTAATTGAATTACTTAAAGTCCAACAGATCCAAAAGCATTTAGAAACCATCTTTTGATAATAACCTTTGCAGAAATAATGACAGTGTTGAGGCAAAATACGGCATATGGGCTCGAATTAAAATGCGCGCGAAATTTCGAAACTTTTTTAAATTGACATATCCACTCGACCACGACATGTTTCCCCTTTCAGGCTTTTTATGGAGGCTTTCCTGAAATAATATGAAGTCATGTATGCAGACTGGATAGGAAGTCTTGTAGTTAAGTCATTGATGATATTTTAAAGGGACTCGGTAACATTCTTCAGATGAAACAAAATGGTGCTAAGGTAGTGACGCCAATGCAGTGCCTTAAAATAACGACCCACAAAGCAGTCCACCAAATTAACGTGCAAATCTAAAAGTCCCTAATGCAGAGACACCATCACAAAATCCTTGACAAGCGAAGACATACCAAACACACCCACGTCTAAGTCACCTAAGAAAATAACCCTGACCCAATTACACAAGCGTCACAAAGAACGACAGCAATACACAGAGCAAAACCTCCGTCGTTCAAAACGTCATATCCGTAAACCAGATAAGTTGGACTTATAAAAACAAACAGAACACACTTTGTATATAGTTCTTGTTGTGTATCATAATGTAATTGATAAGACGAAAAGATGAGATCAGAGTAATATGATGTGATTTGATAATTATGCTCAATATTGTTTGGTAAACTGTAAATTGAAAAATCGAGTAGACTGATATTTTGCTCAGTGGAGAGGAAGGGCGGGGGGGGGGGGGGGAGGGGGTAGTGACCACTAAATTATTATTTTTTTTTTTTTGTCCCAGCAAATGGGAAAATTGCCTCGACCAATATTTCGCTCAGTTGGTGGGGGGGGGGGGAGGGGTTAGGAGCATTAATTCTATTTTATGCAGCACAACCCCTCCCACACTAGTGAGCAAAGAAAAATTAAGGTGGGTTAAAACCCAACCCCCCACCCATGCGTCCGCGACTGATGTAGAGCCCCCGACTCAATGTTATTGGAGACTTACAGTTTTCAAAACACTCCTTTTTGATCGACTCTGTAGCTTGATTGATACTTTTGTGATTTTGGAAGATAGAATGATTCTTATAGCAAAGTTTGTTCGTCAGTTCCTCGCTTTGAATCAACTAATAAAGGCCAATGAACTAAAATTAACATTGTGATTTTTCATTGTTGATCGAATGGAGATGCGAAGCCTGAGTTGAAAGATAGGAAGTTTGAAGAAATCTTACCTCCGTCACAGGTTGAACCAGCTGGACAGGTGCACGTACCCGATTCACAAGTCTTTCCGTCCTGGCAACCCTCGTTATCGGTACAGGTGACTGTAAAGAGCCAATGACAATTATGAACAAGTGTGTGTGTGTGTGTATTTGGTTTTTACAGACGTGTATCAATCAGATATGATTATTTACGTCTGGGGACCGACCTTTAACGTCACCATCCGAAAGACGTGACTCAGTTTCGAACCTGCGTCCTCGGCTGAATCAGTTTGTAACTTCCACTGTTAGCTGGATTACAGGCGCACGCCACAACGCCTAGATAAATTTATGAACAAGTATGAGATGGTCTGTATTTAAGTTCTTTTAATTACAATGAGAACGACTAAAAAGTACCTGAACACGATGATGATGGTGATAATCATAAAGATGACTGTATTGATAACGCCTGTGATGATGATGAGTTACGATGACTACAATATCATTAAACCAATTTTCTACTAATCATTTATTAGTTTCAAACCGAGTCGCTATTCCGTTTTTGGTATAGATATGAACATAACTTCAGGACAAAGTAAAAACGGCTTCCTGTCGTTATTGACATTCATTGAGCAGTTTCGGACTATTAGAGGCGATAATATAAGTGTACCAAGATTCCAAGGGATGGACCGTGCCGTTTTTAAAAGTATAACCTTTTGTGTGTAATTGAATTACTTAAAGTCCAACAGATCCAAAAGCATTTAGAAACCATCTTTTGATAATAACCTTTGCAGAAATAATGACGGTGTTGAGGCAAAATAAGGCATATGGGCTCAGATTAAAATGCGCGAGAATTTTCGAAACATTTTTAAATTGACATATCCACTCGACCACGACATCTTTTCCCATTCAGCCTCTTTATGGAGGCTTTCCTGAAATAATATGAAGTCATGTATGCAGACTGGATAGGAAGTCTTGTAGTTAAGTCATTGATTATATTTTAAAGGGACAAAATAACATTCTTCAGATGAAACAAAATGGTGCTAAGGTAGTGACGCCAATGCAGTGCCTTAAAATAACGACCCACAAAGCAGTCCACCAAATCGACGTGCAAATCTCAAAGTCCCTAATGCAGAGACACCATCACAAAATCCTTGACAAGCGAAGACATACCAAACACACCCACGTCTAAGTCACCTAAGAAAATAACCCTGACCCAATTACACAAGCGTCACAAAGAACGACAGCAATACACAGAGCAAAACCTCCGTCGTTCAAAACGTCATATCCGTAAACCAGATAAGTTGGACTTAAAAAAACAAACAGAACACACTTTGTATATAGTTCTTGTTGTGTATCATAATGTAATTGATAAGACGAAAAGATGAGATCAGAGTAATATGATGTGATTTGATAATTATGCTCAATATTGTTTGGTAAACTGTAAATTGAAAAATCGCGTAGACTGATATTTTGCTCAGTTGAGAGGAAGGGCGGGGGGGGGGGGGTAGTGACCACTAAATATTATTTTTTTTGTTTGTCCCAGCAAATGGGAAAATTGCCTCGACCAATATTTCGCTCAGTTGGTGGGGGGGGGGGAGGGGTTAGAAGCATTAATTCTATTTCATGCAGCACAACCCCTCCCACACTATTGAGCAAAGAAAAATTAAGGTGGGTTAAAACCCAAACCCCCACCCATGCTTTCGCGACTGATGTAGAGCCCCGACTCGATGTTATTTGCGACTTACAGTTTTCAAAACACTCCTTTTTGATCGACTCTGTAGCTTGGTTGATACTTTTGTGATTTTGGAAGATAGAATGATTCTTATAGCAAAGTTTGTTCGTCAGTTCCTCGCTTTGAATAAACTAATAAAGGCCAATGAACTTAAATTAACATTGTGATTTTTCATTGTTGATCGAATGGAGATGCGAAGCCTGAGTTGAAAGGTAGGAAGTTTGAAGAAATCTTACCTCCGTCACAGGTTGAACCAGCTGGACAGGTGCACGTACCCGACTCACAAGTCTCTTCGTACCGGCAATCCGCGTCAACGGTACAGGTGACTGTAAAGAACCAATGATAATTGTAAACAAGTATGAGATGGTCTGTATTCAAGTTCTTTTAATTACAAAAAGAACGACTAAAAAGTACCTGAAGACGATGATGATGGTGATAATCCTAAAGATAACGGTATTGATAACGACTGTGATGATGATGAATTACGACGACTGCAATGTCATTATACACATTTTATACTATTCAGTTCTAAGTTTCAAACTGAGTCGCTGTACCGTTTTTGTTCTAGATATGAACATAACTTCAGGACAAAGTAAAAACGGTCTACTGTTGTCATTGACATTCGGTGAGCAGTTTCGGACTAATTGAGGCGATAAGTGTACCAAGATTCAAACGGATGGACCGTGCCGTTTTTAAATGTATAACCTTTTGTTTGTAATTAAATTACTTAAAGTCCAAAAGATTCAAAAGCATTTAGAAACCATCCTTTGATAATAACCTTTGCATAAATAATGACGGTGTTGAAGCAAAATAAGGCATATGGGCTCGAATTAAAATGCGCGCGAAATTTCGAAACTTTTTTAAATTGACATATCCACTCGACGACGACATGTTTCCCCTTTCAGGCTTTTTATGGAGGCTTTTCTAACATAACATGAAGTCATGTTTGCAGACTGGATAGGAAGTCTTGTAGTTCAGTCATTGATGATATTTTAAAGGGACTCGGTAACATTCTTCAGATGAAACAAAATGGTGCTAAGGTAGTGACGTCAATACAGTGCCTTAAAATAACCGCACACGTACATGTAGCAGACCACTATGTCGACGTGCAAATCTAAAAGTCCCTAATGCAGAGACAAAATCACAAAAGCCTTGACTGGTGAAGACATACCAAACACACACGTCTCAGTCACCTAGAAAAATAACCGAGACCCGATTAAACAAAAGTCACACAGAACGACATCAACACACAGAGCAAAACCTCCGTCGTTCAAAACGTCACGTCCGTAAACCAGATAGGTTGGACTTATAAAAACAAACAAAAACAAAACAAAACAAAACGCGCACTTTGTATATAGTTCTTGTTATGTATCATAATGTAATTGATAAGACGAAAAGATGAGATCAGAGTAATATGTTGTGATTTGATAATTATGCTCAATATTGTTTGGTAATCTGTTATTTGGTAAATCACGTCGACTGACATTTTGCTCATTGGGGAAGAGGCGGGGGTGGGGGGGGGGGGGGTAGTGATTACTCATTTCTTAAATTTTTGTTTCCCCCCGCAAATAGGAAAATCGCGTCGACCAATATTTCGCTCAGTTGGAGGGAGGGAGGGAGGGGGGAGGGAGTAAAGGAGCATTTTTTATTTTTCATGCAGCAAAACCTCTCCCCCACCCTTGAGCAAAAAAAGTAAAAAAAATTGACGGGGGGGGGGGGTAAACCCCCGCAAACACCCCCACAAATGCGTTGCGACTGATGTAGAGCCCCCGACTCAGTGTTATTGGAGACTTACAGTTTTTAACATTCTTCTTTTTGATCGACACTATTGCTTGATTCACATTTTTGTTATTTTGGAAGATAGATTGATTCTTAGAGCAAAGTTTGTTCGTCAGTTCCTCTCTTTGAATCAACGATAAAGGCCATTGAACTAATAATTAACATTGTGACTTTTCATTGGTGATCGAATGGAGATGCGAAGCCTGAGTTAAAAGGTAGGGGGTTTGAAGAAATCTTACCTCCGTCACAGGTTGAACCAGCTGGACAGGTGCACGTACCCGAATCACAAATCTTTCCGTTCTCGCAACCCGCGTCAACGGTACAGGTGACTGTAAAGAGCCAATGACAATTGTGAACAAGTATGAGATGGTCTGTATATAAGTTCTTTTATTTACAATAAAAACGACTAAAAAGAACCTGAACACGATGATAATGGTGATAATCATGAAGATTACTGTATTGATAACGACTGTGATGATGAATTACGACAACTTAAATGTCATTATACAAATGTTATACTATTCAGTTCTAAGTTTCAAACCGAGTCGCTGTACCGTTTTTGTTCTAGATATGAACATAACTTCAGGACAAAGTAAAAACGGTCTACTGTCGTCATTGACATTAAGTGAGCAGTTTCGGACTAATTGAGGCGATAAGTGTACCAAGATTCAAAGGGATGGACCGTGCTGTTTTTACATGTATAACCTTTTGTGTGTAATTAGATTACTAAAGGTCCAAAACTTTCAAAAGCATGCGAAAACAATCCTTTGATAATTAACTTTGCAAAAAACAAAACAAAACAAAACACACAATTTGTAAATAGTTCTTGTTTGTGTATCATAATGAAATTAATAAGACGAAAAGATCAGATTAGAGTAATATGTTGTCATTTGATAATTATACTCAATATTGTTGGGTAATCTTTAAATTGGAAAATCGCTACGACTGATATTTTCCTCAGTGGGGAGAAGGCGGAGGGGGGGGGGGGTAGTGACAACTTATTATTACATTTTTGTTTGTTCCCGCATATGGGAAAATCGAGTCGACCAATATTTCGCTTAAATGGGGGGAGGGGTTAAAGGAGCATTCATTTGTTTTGTTCATGCAGCACAACCCCTCCCCCACCCTTAAAAAAAAAAAAAAAAAGGAGGCTGGTTTAACCCCCCCCCCCCCCCCCCCCCCCCCCACCATGCGTTCGCGACTTATGTAGAGCCCCAGACTCAGTGTTATTGGAGACTTACAGTTTTCAACATTGTCCTTTTTGATCGACACTGTAGCTTGATTCACACTTTTGTTATTTTGGAAGATGGATTGATTCTTAGAGCAAAGTTTGATCGTTAGTTCCTCGCTTTGAATCAACTAATAAAGGTCAATGAACTAAAATTAACATTGTGACTTTTCATTGGTGATCGAATGGAAATGCGAAGCCTGAGTTGAAAGGTAGGAGGTTTGAAGAAATGTTACCTCCGTCACAGGTTGAACCAGCTGGACAGGTGCATGTACCCGACTCACAAGTCTCTTCGTACCGGCAATCCGCGTTATCGGTACAGGTGACTGTAAAGAACCAATGATAATTGTAAACAAGTATGAGATGGTCTGTATTCAAGTTCTTTTAATGACAATAAAAACGACTAAAAAGAACCTGAACACGATGATGATAATGATAATCATTAATATTACTGTATTGATAACGACTGTGATGACGACGACTACAATGTCATTAGACCAAATTTATACTATTCAGTTCTAAGTTTCAAACTGAGTCGCTGTACCGTTTTTGTTCTAGATATGAACATAACTTCAGGACAAAGTAAAAAGGGTCTACTGTCGTCATTGACATTCAGTGAGCAGTTTCGGACTAATTGAGGCGATAAGTGTACCAAGATTCAAAGGGATGGACCGTGCCGCTTTTACATGTATAACCTTTTGCGTGTAATTACATTACTTAAAGTCCAAAAGATTCAAAAGCATTTAGAAACCATCCTTTGATAATAACCTTTGCATAAATAATGACGGTGTTGAAGCAAAATAAGGCATATGGGCTCGAATTAAAATGCGCGCGAAATTTCGAAACTTTTTTAAATTGACATATCCACTCGACCACGACATGTTTCCCCATTCAGGCTTTTTATGGAGGCTTTTCTAACATAACATGAAGTCATGTTTGCAGACTGGATAGGAAATCTTGTAGTTCAGTCATTGATGATATTTTAAAGGGACTCGGTAACATTCTTCAGATGAAACAAAATGGTGCTAAGGTAGTGACGTCAATACAGTGCCTTAAAATAACTTCACACGTAGCAGACCACTATGTCGACATGCAAATCTAAAAGTCCCTAATGCAGAGACACAATCACAAAAGCCTTGACTGGCGAAGACATACCAAACACACACGTCTCAGTCACCTAGAAAAATAACCGAGACCCGATTAAACTAAAGTCACACAGAACGACATCAACACACAGAGCAAAACCTCCGTCGTTCAAAACGTCACGTCCGTAAACCAGATAGGTTGGACTTATAAAAACAAACAAAAACAAAACAAAACAAAACGCGCACTTTGTATATAGTTCTTGTTGTGTATCATAATGTAATTGATAAGACGAAAAGATGAGATCAGAGTAATATGTTGTGATTTGATAATTATGCTCAATATTGTTTGGTAATATGTTATTTGGTAAATTACGTCGACTGACATTTTGCTGAGTAGGGAAGAGGAGGGGGCGGGGGGGGGGGGGGTAGTGACCACTCATTTCTTAAATTTTTGTTCCCCCCGCAAATAGGAAAATCGCGTCGACCAATATTTCGCTCAGTTGGAGAAAGGGGGGATGGAGTAAAGGAGCATTTATTATTTTTCATGCAGCACAACTTCTCCCCCACCCTTGAGCAAAAAAGTAAAAAAATTGACGGGGGGGGGGGGGGTAACCCCCGCAAACACCCCCACAAATGCGTTGCGACTGATGTAGAGCCCCCGACTCTGTGTTATTGGAGACTTACAGTTTAAGGGAAAGTCCACCCCCAAAATAAGTTTGTTTCGATAGAGGCAGAATATTAAGAAAATCAGGTGAGTGAAAGTTTGAGCAAATTCTGAATGAAAATAAGAAAGTTATGAATTATTGAAGTTGTGATCAATCAAACACAAATTGGCAACTCTATGACGTATCATGCGAGCTCAACTTCCATTTGCTCAGTACTAAAAAAATCTAAAATTTTCATTTTCCCTCGAGAAAAATTTCAACCATACATGCACCCTAAATATAATAATTGCAAATATGTTTCTATACTCCCCCTGCAAGGAACAAATATATATTCCGTCATCAATAACGAAGAAAACATGATTTTATGGAATATTATGCACAAAGCAAATGAAGGAGAGCTCGTATAATAAGTCACAGAGTTGCCAATTTGTATTTGATTGATCACAACTTCAATAATTCATAACTTTCTTATTTTCATTCAGAATTTGCTCAAACTTTCACTCACCTGATTTTCTTATTATTCTGCCTCTATCGAAACAAACTTATTTTGGGGGTGGACTTTCCCTTTAACATTCTTCTTTTTGATCGACACTATTGCTTGAATCACATTTTTGTTATTTTGGAAGATAGATTGATTCTTAGAGCAAAGTTTGTTCGTCAGTTCCTCGCTTTGAATCAACGTAAAAGGCCATTGAACTAAAAATTAACATTGTGACTTTTCATTGGTGATCGAATGGAGATGCGAAGCCTAAGTTTAAAGGTAGGAGGTTTGAAGAAATCTTACCTCCGTCACAGTTTGAACCAGCTGGACAGGTGCACGTACCCGAATCACAAGTCTTTCCGTTCTCGCAACCCGCGTCAACGGTACAGGTGACTGTAAAGAGTCAATGACAATTATGAACAAGTATGAGATGGTCTGTATTTAAGTTCTTTTATTGACAATAAAAACGACTAAAAAGAACCTGAACACGATGATGATGGTGATAATCATAAAGATAACTGTATTAATAACGCCTGTGATGATGATGAATTACGACGACTACAATGTCATTATACCAATTTTATACTATTCAGTTCTGAGTTTCAAACCGAGTCGCTGTACCGTTTTTGTTCTAGATATGAACATAACTTCAGGACAAAGTAAAAACGGTCTACTGTCGTCATTGACATTCATTGAGCAGTTTCGGACTAATTGAGGCGATAAGTGTACCAAGATTCAAAGGGATGGACCTTGCCGTTTTTACATGTATAACCTTTTGTGTGTAATTAGATTACTAAAGGTCCGAAACGTTCAAAAGCATGCGAAAACAATCCTTTGATAATTAACTTTGCAGAAAACAAAACAAAACAAAACACACAATTTGTAAATAGTTCTTGTTTGTGTATCATAATGTAATTGATAAGACGAACAAATCAGATCAGAGTAATATGTTGTCATTTGATAATTATGCTCAATATTGTTGGGTAATCTTTAAATTGGAAAATCGCTTCGACTGATATTTTGCTCAGTTGGGAGTGGGTGGAGGGGGGGGGGGGAGGGGGTAGTGACAACTTATTATTACATTTTTTTTCCCCCGCATATGGGAAAAACGCATCGACCAATATTTTGCTTAGTTGGGGGAAGGGGTTAAAGGAGCATTAATTTGTTTTGTTCATGCAGCACAACCCCTACCCCACCCTTAAGCAAAAAAAGTAAAATAGTGAGGAGGGTTTAACCCCCCCCCCCTAACCATGCGTTCGCGACTGATGTACAGCCCCAGACTCAGTGTTATTGGAGACTAACAGTTTTCAACATTCTCCTTTTTGATTGACACTGTAGATTGATTTACATTTTTGTTATTTTGGAAGAAAGATTGATTCTTAGAGCAAAGTTTGTTCATTAGTTCCTCGCTTTGAATCAACTAATAAAGGTCAATGAACTAAAATTAACATTGTGACTTTTCATTGGTGATCGAATGGAAATGCGAAGCCTGAGTTGAAAGGTAGGAGGTTTGAAGAAATCTTACCTCCGTCACAGGTTGAACCAGCTGGACAGTTGCATGTACCCGAATCACAAGTCTTTTCGTACCGGCAATCCGCGTTATCGGTACAGGTGACTGTAAAGAACCAATGATAATTGTAAACAAGTATGAGATGGTCTGTATTCAAGTTCTTTTAATGTCAATAAAAACGACTAAAAAGAACCTGAAGACGATAATGATGGTGATAATCCTAAAGATAACGGTATTGATAACGACTGTGATGGTGATGAATTACGACGACTGCAATGTCATTATAATAATAATAATAATAACTAGAATTTAAATCGTCACGAGGACGATTAAGGTGGTCTGTCTTCAAGTCATGATAGATTATAATATTTACTATATTGAGAAAGGGAGAAGTTATATAGACACATGTAAACAATGATGATCATGATGATGATCATGATGATGATGATCTTGATAGTAATGGTGATGTCGAATATGATGATGATGATGATGATGATGATGTTGATGATTATCATTAACAGACCATGATGACATCAGACTGAAAAAAATGAGAGAACATTTAGATAGTATATAGTCTCAGCTACAACATACTCAAAAATCAACAAAAATCAAGCCGAAATAACGGCGATATTGCTCGCAAAAGACAAGAATGTAGAATTCAGATTTGAGAAAAAGTCATCTCCCATAAGGATTACATGCAAAAAGTAATGGATCAAGTGATAATAGGGTAATAATAAAGTAAATATGGTTGTTTATTACATTATTTGCGATTTTACGTGTTTTAATATTCAAAGGAGATGGTACAGTGAAAGGTCAAAAAGAAAAAAAAATTAAAGAAAAAAAATTGTTGGAGACGCCCGGACTTGAACCAGGGACCTCGAGGTCGGAAGTCAAGTGCGTTACCGATATACCAAAACATTTCCTATAGAGATTACACGTAAACGGAAAATAGAATTCTCAAATCCCACTTTGTAAGTGAAATATGAGCATGATCCCGGCATCTGATCGAAAAATAAAGGGCACACTTGTGATAGCTTATTGTCTCAGCTACAACATACTCAAAGCTCAGCGTAAACAAAAATAAAACGACGGAGATATTGCTCGCAAAGACGAGAATGTAGAATCCACTTTTGAGAAAAAGTCATCTCCCATAGAGAATTCACGCAAAATGTGAAAAATTGACATGCCTCCTTTAATCGCAAAAATACGCCATGATACCATTGTCAAAATGAAATATCGTGTGAAGCGCATTTGTAGAAAATATTCTCAGGTAGAACATATCAAAATTTGAAAGAAAATCGATCAATATTTACAGAGATACAATCAATTTACCAAAAATCTGCTGACGTCATAATATGCAAATTGAAATTTTGAGTTCGGAGGCCATTATGATGACGTCATGAGTTAATTGAGGGTCAAATGAGACATAAAATCATATCTCCAACTCATAATCTATTTAAATATGAAAGAAATTGGGGGGTATCTATCCATCCTGAAGAGTTACAATGAATTTTGTATAGGCATGTTTTTGCACATGTATGTTATGTATTACAAGAGCTCGCACGCACGGATGCGTATCTTAACGGACGCTCATTCCGTTATTAATGGTCAAAAAAAGGTGAAAATGGTATCAAAATGCTTGAAAAAATGTGCCAAATATGATGACAGAGAAAATTTGGCGATTCTATGTTGCAAAATGCAAGTACGCGCGAAAACGCGCACGCATGCGCGTGCGCGTGTTTTTTTGCAAAATGCCTAAAATGGCCTGAAACGTGTGCAAAAAAAAATTTAAACGAATTGGAGCATTTTAAAATTTTGATACGCGCGTACGTGCGCGTCGAGGTGCGCGCGCAAAATTTGTTGACATTTTTAGTTGAACTTTGAACTGAAGTTGATGTATATTAAATATGGTTGATTTTTGTTGACTCGTTATCGAGATATGATAATGACCTGACTTTTACAAAATGGCGCCTGGATAACGTCACGATGACCTAGTGACCTTGAAAAAGTTAATTTGACTTGAAATTATAGAGCTTGATGACTGACAGAAATTTGAAGGCAATTGACCATGTTGATTTCGAGTAAACGTGTGGACAAAAAAGTGTACGGAAGAAATAAAAATAAAGAATAAAGAAAGAATAAAGAAAGAATGAAAGAAAATTCTAACGAAATCAATAGGTGATCTGTCGTTGACAGACCACCTAATAATAGAATAAACTTATAGAGCGCACACTCCGTCCAGGGACGCTCATGGCGCTAGCATTTACACTTTATACTATTCAGTTCTAAGTTTCAAACCGAGTCGCTGTACCATTTTTGTTCTAGATATAAACATAACTTCAGGACAAAGTAAAAGCGGTTTACTGTCGTCATTGACATTCAGTGAGCAGTTTCGGACTAATTGAGGCGATAAGTGTACCAAGATTCAAACGGATGGACCGTGCCGTTTTTACATGTATAATCTTTTGTGTGAAATTAAATTACTTAAAGTCCAAAAGATTCAAAAGCATTTAGAAACCATCCTTTGATAATAACCTTTGCATAAATAATGACGGTGTTGAAGCAAAATAAGGCATATGGGCTCAAATTAAAATGCGCGCGAAATTTCGAAACTTTTTTAAATTGACATATCCACTCGACCACGACATGTTTCCCCTTTCAATTCAATTCAATTTATTTATTCATCATCCATAAAAATTATAACAGATATTGACAATATTTGACGATGCATAACAATAATAACAATAGATGAAAGGATACCTTCAAAAAAAGCACGGGGCTTGTACAATAGAAGGCACCTGAACAAAGTTAAATAATACATTTATAATTGCAAAACAATTCACCCAGCCACAAAACACAATAGTCACACACAAAAATGCGCCGACACACAAACACACAAACACACACACACACACCCTCACTCACAAACTAACTAACTACTAACCGAAATGTAACGTAAACAATCTTTTGAAAATCATTGTTGGAGTACATCAAGTATTGTAACTGTTAACGAAATGCTGGTTAAGTTTACGTTTGAATACATTGAGTGTGGTTGCATCGGAAATACAATTTTCAATTTCGTTTAAAATTTTGGGACCAGTATACCGAATGGATCTTATATCTAACGAATTTTGAGGTTTTGGCAGTCGAAATTTCATTGAATTGCGGGTAAAATGTGAATGAATATCTGAATTTAGCTGAAACATATCATGAAACGAAAGTGGAAGAGTATTGTTTATATATCGATACATGAAAATACCAACAAGATATTTATATATGTCAAAAATGTTTAAAAGATTTAACGAATGAAAAATAGGACTAGAATGGGCAAGATAATGCGAAAGAGTACAAATTCGAATAGCTTGTTTCTGTTTCTTAAAAATACTTACTAATCTGGTTTTACACGCTGAACCCCATACAATATTACCATACATGAGATACGGCAAGATAAGAGCATTGTATAATAGAATTAATATATGTGGGGGTACTGTATATTTCAATTTATATAAAATTCCAATGGTTTTACTTATTTTATTACAGACATGTCTGACATGAAAATCCCATTTTAGATAACAATCAACATGTATACCAAGGAAATTATGACAGTCGACGAAATCAATCAACTCTCCGTCCAATTGTACTTTGGGTAAAGCGATACTCCGTGAATTGTTCAAACAAAAATATATACATTTAGTTTTTTTAACATTGAGACATAGCTTGTTTGTTCTTAACCATTCAACAACCTTGATAAGTTCTGTATTTGTTTGACATATTAAGTCATTCTGATTATAATTTGAGGCAATCAAACAAGTATCATCTGCGTATTGAATAAAGTGAAACAATTTTGAAACACAATATAAATCATTAACATATAATAGGAACAATAGAGGACCTAGAATTGATCCTTGAGGAATACCTGTTTTGATCAAAAGTTTTTTAGAAATATGAGTTTTATACATTGTACATTGATTTCTGTTTGTTAAATAATCTTTAAACCATAAATAGGGTATACCACGAATACCATATCTAGATAACTTAGAAAGTAATATGTCGTGATCCATTACATCGAAAGCTTTCGACAGGTCTAAAAATATACCGATAACAAACTTATTTGAGTGCAATGCGTTACATACTGTATCATTAAAATCAATAAGAGCATGATCAGTTGAATGGTTTGGCCGAAAGCCATATTGATGCATGTATAAAATATTGTTATGTTCAAGAAATTTATATAGACGAACGTAAACTAATTTTTCTAGTAACTTTGAAAAACAAGGAAGTAAAGAAATTGGACGATGGTTGCATATATCATAAGGATCCCCTGTTTTTGGTACAGGAACAATTTTTGCAGTTTTAAGCCGGTTTGAAAATTTTCCAGTCGAAATTGATAAATTCATAATGTGCATCAACGGACGGGCTATAGCGTGAATAGATTTCTTTGCTATATTTTGACTAACATCATCAACTCCAGTGCTATTTGTATTCTTTAAATTCCTAAAAATATTTATAATTTCGTTTTCAGATGTAGGGCACAAAAATAACGAATTTGGATTTGATGCGTTCATGTAATCCAAATGGTGTTTATAAGAGCGAGGAATCTGGGCAGCTGTTTTGGTTCCAACGTCATTAAACATTCTATTGAACAGTTCGGATATTTCGCACTCATTGTCTACTATCACACCGTTGACTTTGAAATGATTCGGCAGGACTTTAGCTTTTCTATTTAAAATACCATTGATAATGCCCCAGGTTTTCTTCAGGTTATTAGAGTTGTATTTAAGCATATCACCATAGTATTTTGTTCGTGCTTGTCTTAGAAGAAAAGTAACTTTATTTCGATAAGATTTATACTTCCTACTCAAATCTGAAGAAAATTTCAACTTCAATTGCTTATATAACTTATTTCTCCGATTGATACAAGAGAAAAGAAAATTATTTATCCACGGTTTTCGAATTGATTTTTTCTTCCTACTTTTCTCCTTGAGGGTAAAGTGTTTATCATACAATTCAGAATAGATATCTATAAATATATATTATGCCTGTTCGACATTTGTGGATCTATAAACACACGTCCAATCATATAAATGTAGACCAATGCAAAATTGTGCAATGTTTGCCTCCGTAAAATGCCGTGTACGAACATTTAAGATAGGAATAGAAACCTTTAATTTGTAGTTAATTTGAAAAATTGGAAAATGGTCTGTAATATCACAATATAGAACTCCAGAATGAATATCATTGATAACGTTTGTGAATATGTTGTCGATCAATGACATTGATTTCGATGTATTTTTTCGGGTGGGTTTGTCTATCAAAGGATATAAACTATTAGAGTGGAGAATACTCAAGAAGTCAGAAACATGAATATTTTGTGAATTATGTAAGTTTATATTAAAATCACCCATTAAATATATGCTTTTATTTTCTTTACTAATCTTAATGAGAAGTGCCTCGATTTCTTCAAGGAAGCAGGGAATATTGGAAGCAGGTGGACGATATATGGTTCCAACTATAATATTTTTTCTTTCAGATATATTTATCTCAATAAAAATGGATTCGATGTTATCATTGCACATTTTTAAGTCATCTCTGGTCTTGAACTCGAAGCAATCTCTTACTAACATAGCAACACCCCCACCCTTCTTTTGTATTCTGTTGGAGTAAACAAAATTATATCCAGAGAAATCGAAACAATGTGGTGTATGTTCTTGAAGCCATGTTTCCGTGAAAGCAATAATGGAAAAAGGATAGTTAATTGCTGATAAAAAATCTGAAATATCATTGAAATTTTTGGACAAACTTCTTGCGTTAAAATGTATAGTACTAAAGAAATATTCTTCTCTTGTGACATATTTAGAAACAAATTCCTGAGGTATGTAATAATTGCATTCACTGTTCTTAAAAATATCGCAATGTAAATCAGGGTCAATGTCATCAAGTGCATTCAAATTATCTTTTAACAACTCAAGTCTGATGGTATTGAAATTTTGTAACGAAATTGTAGAATCGGCAGTAAACATATTAGATTTGAAATCTTCGTCGCTAATCAGACTAAAAGGAAATATGCATATTATACAATCTTTGCACATCCAATCAGAAACATTTTGAATAACATGACATGATTCATCGTGAAAACAGTCACAGTTTATACAGCAAACGGAAGAGTTTGTTTTGACGGTGCACCCACAACAATTAGTATTTGCTCTGTATCCAATCATACAATAACGAATCAAACACTCATACAGACACACGTACACTCACTCCAAGATAGCAAGTTCAGTATTTTGTATTCTCTATACAGATAGGTTTCACAGTCCAAAAATGAAGGAAAACCCCCACCCCCAATCCGCCAAGTTGTTGACATGCTTGACGATTGCATAATAGAACATGTTACATAATCGACTAAACTGTTTACATTCTTGGATTACTGAGTGCCGAAGTATTAATTCAAAGAATTTGGAATCGCATTCTATGAATAAATGAATTAAATCATTTTGTTAAATGGTTGACATGGGAACGGGCTATGCACATGTAGATGGTACTGTAATAAGGCGTGCTTCAAATCAAGATATTTCGATTGAAAGAGTGTAAAATAAAGAATATAAATGGCATATAGTTACATAAAATAGTATTTTAAAAAAAAATTACAAAAAGAAAAACGGTGACGTGTCGTAAAACGAAATTCCATGTATAGACGCATTATTTTGAAACAATCGTTATACTCACGAAATGAAGTCCAAGTTGCTAGTGTCTGTGATTTTGGCCTGTGCTCCAGTACTAGTTTTACACCAACCAGTCGAATTCTAGTTGACATATTTTGTGTTTTTCGTAGATTATAGGCTTCTCTTTCCAGCTGATAGCGAGCTTTCTTTAGTTCGGCTGGCAAGTCGGTACGTATCGTTATTCTAGGCGTATCGTCTGGAGTCTTGGCCGGATTTGGACGTCGCTGTATTCGTTCGAAGGCGGCGAGGACTTCATTGCGGTCGGACATGCAGACAAATCGCACGATGATCGGGTCGGGAGTTTTGATGTTCTCGTTTGGCTTACGTGGCAATCGGTGAACATTGTTGAATATCATATTTTGTGCCGTACTTTCTGAGACATCGAGAGATGTAATTGCTTTTCGAATAACTTCTTGTATATTTTCATCATTTTTCTTTTCAATACCGTAGAATAGCAAATTTCTTTTCCTCTCATGAATTTCCATGGCTGTCATCGCGTCGCGAATACTCTGGTCGCATTCCTTCTGTTTCTTAATCAGGGCGGGAATAGTATCATTTTCCAATGCTTCAACTCGGGATGCGGAGTCTGCAGCTGCAACTTGTAGTTCTGATATCGAACTTTTGACGACCTTTATCTCCTCTCCTATGGTTAAGACATTAGTGGCAACAGTATCCAATTTTTTCAGTATCTTTGCAGAAAATTCGTCGAAATGCTGTCTGAATTCCGTGACTGATTCAGCCGTAGCGTATGCTTGCGTGGCAGCTGGAATGTCGGGTGTGTCCGTTTTGCTAGCCGCATCGGTAACAGTCTTAGATCTTGGCATTTTTGTAGGTTTTGGAGGTACGAAACGAAATGTTATAACGAATTTATCCGTAGAATGTATCAAACTTACTTGCAAACTGAAAATTTGTTCAATATTCCTTTTTGTAGAGGCGGATTAAGTGGGATTTTCCGTCAGATTTTAAGAGCGTTAAAAATCAGTCCTCCATGTTCCAAATAGCGCTTTTTATGGAGGCTTTTCTAACATAACATGAAGTCATGTTTGCAGACTGGATAGGAAGTCTTGTAGTTCAGTCATTGATGATATTTTAAAGGGACTCGGTAACATTCTTCAGATGAAACAAAATGGTGCTAAGGTAGTGACGTCAATACAGTGCCTTAAAATAACTTCACACGTAGCAGACCACTATGTCGACGTGCAAATCTAAAAGTCCCTAATGCAGAGACACAATCACAAAAGCCTTGACTGGCGAAGACATACCAAACACACACGTCTCAGTCACCTAGAAAAATAACCGAGACCCGAGCCCCGTCTTACAAAGAGTTACGATCGATCCAAATCAATCGTAAGTCCTCCAATCAATCGCAAGTTTGCAGTCTCCTATCTCTTATGTACATAGTTACGATTGATATCAATCGCAAATAAGTTACGATTGATATCAACTCTTTGTAAGACGGGGCCCCGATTAAACAAAAGTCACACAGAACGACATCAACACACAGAGCAAAACCTCCGTCGTTCAAAACGTCACGTCCGTAAACCAGATAGGTTGGACTTATAAAAACAAACAAAAACAAAACAAAACAAAACGCGCACTTTGTATATAGTTCTTGTTGTGTATCATAATGTAATTGGTAAGACGAAAAGATGAGATCAGAGTAATATGTTGTGATTTGATAATTATGCTCAATATTTATATGATATTGACTGACCTTGAGGGGTATATCATAAATATTGACCAAGCTCAGATCATATTGCCCCGAGTCGAAAGACGAGGGCAATATGGTCTTAGCGCGGTCAATATTTCTGATATTCCCCGAAAGTAAAGCCAGTCAATATTTGTATTGTTATCCTAATCAGACATCTAGAGCAAATACAGAAATCCGGCATGACAATCTCAAAGAACTGAACAAACTTTGTCAAATATCCAGTGCTTGACGAAATTTTCGATACACTGCAATCAGTGTGCATTTGATGTGATTAATACGTCACAATAGAGTGCGCGCAAAGTGCGCAGGTTCTCGTACGCATAATAGATGCGCAATGAAAATGACAAAATACGGCGCGGTCAATACAAGATGCCCGGATGCGAGACCGTGGAAAATACAAAGGTATTTTTTCACTCGTCTCTACACGCAAAGTCTATACGAGCAGGGAGACCAAGGAAAATACAAAGAATATACCCCTCTGTTCCCACTGCTAGTAAAAACTAGGGCAATACGGTTTTGTAAATGACCAGCTCAGATGTCTGATACGGGTAATAATGTTTGGTAATCTGTTATTTGGTAAATTGCGTCGACTGACATTTTGCTGAGTAGGGAAGAGGAGGGGGCGGGGGGGGGGGGGGGGTAGTGACCACTCATTTCTTAAATTTGTGTTTCCCCCCCGCAAATAGGAAAATCGCGTCGACCAATATTTCGCTCAGTTGGAGGGAGGGAGGGAGGGGGGAGGGAGTAAAGGAGCATTTTTTATTTTTCATGCAGCACAACCTCTCCCCCACCCTTGAGCAAAAAAAGTAAAAAAAATTGACGGGGGGGGGGGGGGGTTAACCCCCGCAAACATCCCCACAAATGCGTTGCGACTGATGTAGAGCCACCGACTCTGTGTTATTGGAGACTTACAGTTTTTAACATTCTTCTTTTTGATCGACACTATTGCTTGAATCACATTTTTGTTATTTTGGAAGATAGATTGATTCTTAGAGCAAAGTTTGTTCGTCATTTCCTCGCTTTGAATCAACGTAAAAGGCCATTGAACTAAAAATTAACATTGTGACTTTTCATTGGTGATCGAATGGAGATGCGAAGCCTGAGTTTAAAGGTAGGAGGTTTGAAGAAATCTTACCTCCGTCACAGGTTGAACCAGCTGGACAGGTGCACGTACCCGAATCACAAGTCTTTCCGTTCTCGCAACCCGCGTCAACGGTACAGGTGACTGTAAAGAGTCAATGACAATTGTGAACAAGTAGGAGATAGTCTGTATTTAAGTTCTTTTAATGGCAATAAAAACGACTAAAAAGAACCTGAACACGATGATGATGGTGATAATCATGAAGATTATTGTATTGATAACGACTGTGATGATGATAAATTCCGACGACTACAATGTCATTATACCAATTTTATACTATTCAGTTCTAAGTTTCAAACCGAGTCGCTGTCCCGTTTTTGTTCTAGATATGAACATAACTTCAGGACAAAGTAAAAACGGCCTACTATCGTCATTGACATTCATTGAGCAGTTTCGGGCTAATTGAGGCTATAAGTGTACCAATATTCAAAGGGATGGACCGTGCCGTTTTTACATGTATAACCTTTTGTGTGTAATTAGATTACTAAAGGTCCGAAACGTTCAAAAGCATGCGAAAAACAATCCTTTGATAATTAACTTTGCAGAAAACAAAACAAAACAAAACACACAATTTGTAAGTAGTTCTTGTTTGTGTATCATAATGTTATTGATAAGACGAAAAAATCAGATCAGAGTAATATATTGTCATTTGATAATTATGCTCAATATTGTTGGGTAATCTTTAAATTGGAAAATCGCTTCAACTGATATTTTGCTCAGTGGGGAGTGGGCGGAGGGGGGGGGGGGGGTAGTGACAACTTATTATTACATTTTTTTGTTCCCGCATATGGGAAAAACGCCTCGACCAATATTTTGCTTAGTTGGGGGGAGGGGTTAAAGGAGCATTAATTTGTTTTGTTCATGCAGCACAACCCCTCCCCCACCCTTAAGCGAAAAAAGGAAAAAAGTGAGGAGGGTTTAACCCCCCCCCCCCTAACCATGCGTTTGCGACTGATGTAGAGCCCCAGACTCAGTGTTATTGGAGACTTCCAGTTTTCAACATTCTCCTTTTTGATCGACACTGTAGCTTGATTCACATTTTTGTTATTTTGCAAGATAGATTGATTCTAAGAGCAAAGTTTGTTCGTTAGTTCCTCGCTTTGAATCAACTATTAAAGGTCAATGAACTAAAATTAACATTGTGACTTTTCATTGGTGATCGAATGGAAATGCGAAGCCTGAGTTGAAAGGTTGGAGGTTTGAAGAAATTTTACCTCCGTCACAGGTTGAACCAGCTGGACAGGTGCACGTACCCGACTCACAAGTCTCTTCGTACCGGCAATCCGCGTTACCGGTACAGGTGACTGTAAAGAACCAATGATAATTGTAAACAAGTATGAGATAGTCTGTATTCAAGTTCTTTAAATGTCAATAAAAACGACTAAAAAGAACCTGAACACGATGATGATGGTGATAATCCTAAAGATAACGGTATTGATAACGACTGTGATGATGATGAATTACGACGACTGCAATGTCATTATACACATTTTATACTATTCAGTTCTAAATTTTAAACCGAGTCGCTGTACCGTTTTTGTTCTAGATATAAACATAACTTCAGGACAAAGTAAAAAGGGTCTACTGTCGTCATTGACATTCAGTGAGCAGTTTTGGACTAATTAAGGCGATAAGTGTACCAAGATTCAAACGGATGGACCGTGCCGTTTTTACATGTATAATCTTTTGTGTGTAATTAAATTACTTAAAGTCCAAAAGTTTCAAAAGCATTTAGAAACCATTCTTTGATAATAACCTTTGCATAAATAATGACGGTGTTGAAGCAAAATAAGGCATATGGGCTCAAATTAAAATGCGCGCGAAATTTCGAAACTTTTTTAAATTGACATATCTACTCGACCACGACATGTTTCCCCATTCAGGCTTTTTATGGAGGCTTTTCTAACATAACATAAAGTCATGTTTGCAGACTGGATAGGAAGTCTTGTAGTTCAGTCATTGATGATATTTTAAAGGGACTCGGTAACATTCTTCAGATGAAACAAAATGGTGCTAAGGTAGTGACGTCAATACAGTGCCTTAAAATAACTTCACACGTAGCACACCACTATGTCGACGTGCAAATCTAAAAGTCCCTAATGCAGAGACACAATCACAAAAGCCTTGACTGGCGAAGACATACCAAACACACACGTCTCAGTCACCTAGAAAAATAACTGAGACCCGATTAAACAAAAGTCACACAGAACGACATCAACACACAGAGCAAAACCTCCGTCGTTCAAAACGTCACGTCCGTAAACCAGATAGGTTGGACTTATAAAAACAAACAAAAACAAAACAAAACAAAACGCGCACTTTGTATATAGTTCTTGTTATGTATCATAATGTAATTGATAAGACGAAAAGATGAGATCAGAGTAATATGTTGTGATTTGATAATTATGCTCAATATTGTTTGGTAATCTGGTATTTGGTAAATTGCGTCGACTGACATTTTGCTGAGTAGGGAAGAGGAGGGGGCGGGGGGGGGGGGGAGGGTAGTGACCACTCATTTCTTAAATGTTTGTTTCCCCCCGCAAATAGGAAAATCGCGTCGACCAATATTTCGCTCAGTTGGAGGGAGGGGGATGGAGTAAATGAGCATTTATTATTTTTCATGCAGCACAACCTCTCCCCCACCCTTGAGCAAAAAAAGTAAAAACAAATTGACAGGGGGGGGGGTTAACCCCCGCAAACATCCCCACAAATGCGTTGCGACTGATCTAGAGCCCCCGACTCTGTGTTATTGGAGACTTACAGTTTTTAACATTCTTCTTTTTGATCGACACTATTGCTTGAATCACATTTTTGTTATTTTGGAAGATAGATTGATTCTTAGAGCAAAGTTTGTTCGTCATTTCCTCGCTTTGAATCAACGTAAAAGGCCATTGAACTAAAAATTAACATTGTGACTTTTCATTGGTGATCGAATGGAGATGCGAAGCCTGAGTTTAAAGGTAGGAGGTTTGAAGAAATCTTACCTCCGTCACAGGTTGAACCAGCTGGACAGGTGCACGTACCCGAATCACAAGTCTTTCCGTTCTCGCAACCCGCGTCAACGGTACAGGTGACTGTAAAGAGTCAATGACAATTGTGAACAAGTAGGAGATAGTCTGTATTTAAGTTCTTTTAATGACAATAAAACGACTGAAAAGAACCTGAACACGATGATGATGGTGATAATCATTAAGATTATTGTATTGATAACGACTGTGATGATGATAAATTCCGACGACTACAATGTCATTATACCAATTTTATACTATTCAGTTCTAAGTTTCAAACCGAGTCTCTGTCCCGTTTTTGTTCTAGATATAAACATAACTTCAGGACAAAGTAAAAACGGTCTACTGTCGTCATTGACATTCATTGAGCAGTTTCGGACTAATTGAGGCGATGAGTGTACCAAGATTCAAACGGATGGACCTTGCCGTTTTTACATGTATAACCTTTTGTGTGTAATTAGATTACTAAAGGTCCAAAACGTTCAAAAGCATGCGAATACAATCCGTTGATAATTAACTTTGCAGAAAACAAAACAAAACAAAACACACAATTTGTAAGTAGTTTTCGTTGTGTATCATAATGTAATTGATAAGACGAAAAGATCAGATCAGAGTAATATGTTGTCATTTGATAATTATACTCAATATTGTAGGGTAATCTTTAAATTGGAAAATAGCTTCGACCGATATTTTGCTCAGTGGGGAGAGGCGGAGGGGGGGGGGGGGGGGGGGTATTGACAACTTATTATTACATTTTTGTTTGTTCCCGCATATGGGAAAATCGAGTCGACCAATATTTCGCTTAGTTGGGGGGAGGGGTTAAAGGAGCATTAATTAGTTTTGTTCATGCAGCACAACCCCTCCCCACCCTTAAGCGAAAAAAGGAAAATAGTGAGGAGGGTTTAACCCCCCCCCCCCCCCCCCCCCCTAACCATGCGTTTGCGACTGATGTAGAGCCCCAGACTCAGTGTTATTGGAGACTTCCAGTTTTCAACATTCTCCTTTTTGATCGAGACTGTAGCTTGATTCACATTTTTGTTATTTTGGAAGATAGATTGATTCTTAGAGCAAAGTTTGTTCGTTAGTTCCTCGCTTTGAATCAACTATTAAAGGTCAATGAACTAAAATTAACATTGTGACTTTTCATTGGTGATCGAATGGAAATGCGAAGCCTGAGTTGAAAGGTTGGAGGTTTGAAGAAATCTTACCTCCGTCACAGGTTGAACCAGCTGGACAGGTGCACGTACCCGACTCACAAGTCTCTTCGTACCGGCAATCCGCGTTACCGGTACAGGTGACTGTAAAGAACCAATGATAATTGTAAACAAGTATGAGATGGTCTGTATTCAAGTTCTTTAAATGTCAATAAAAACGACTAAAAAGAACCTGAACACGATGATGATGGTGATAATCCTAAAGATAACGGTATTGATAACGACTGTGATGATGATGAATTACGACGACTGCAATGTCATTATACACATTTTATACTATTCAGTTCTAAGTTTCAAACCGAGTCACTGTACCGTTTTTGTTCTAGATATAAACATAACTTCAGGACAAAGTAAAAAGGGTCTACTGTCGTCATTGACATTCAGTGAGCAGTTTTGGACTAATTGAGGCGATAAGTGTACCAAGATTCAAACGGATGGAGCGTGCCGTTTTTACATGTATAACCTTTTACGTGTAATTAAATTACTTAAAGTCCAAAAGATTCAAAAGCATTTAGAAACCATTCTTTGATAATAACCTTTGCATAAATAATGACGGTGTTGAAGCAAAATAAGGCATATGGGCTCAAATTAAAATGCGCGCGAAATTTCGAAACTTTTTTAAATTGACATATCTACTCGACCACGACATGTTTCCCCATTCAGGCTTTTTATGGAGGCTTTTCTAACATAACATGAAGTCATGTTTGCAGACTGGATAGGAAGTCTTGTAGTTCAGTCATTGATGATATTTTAAAGGGACTCGGTAACATTCTTCAGATGAAACAAAATGGTGCTAAGGTAGTGACGTCAATACAGTGCCTTAAAATAACTTCACACGTAGCAGACCACTATGTCGACGTGCAAATCTAAAAGTCCCTAATGCAGAGACACAATCACAAAAGCCTTGACTGGCGAAGACATACCAAACACACACGTCTCAGTCACCTAGAAAAATAACCGAGACCCGAGCCCCGTCTTACAAAGAGTTACGATCGATCCAAATCAATCGTAAGTCCTCCAATCAATCGCAAGTTTGCAGTCTCCTATCTCTTATGTACATAGTTACGATTGATATCAATCGCAAATAAGTTACGATTGATATCAACTCTTTGTAAGACGGGGCCCCGATTAAACAAAAGTCACACAGAACGACATCAACACACAGAGCAAAACCTCCGTCGTTCAAAACGTCACGTCCGTAAACCAGATAGGTTGGACTTATAAAAACAAACAAAAACAAAACAAAACAAAACGCGCACATTGTATATAGTTCTTGTTATGTATCATAATGTAATTGATAAGACGAAAAGATGAGATCAGAGTAATATGTTGTGATTTGATAATTATGCTCAATATTGTTTGGTAATCTGGTATTTGGTAAATTGCGTCGACTGACATTTTGCTGAGTAGGGAAGAGGAGGGGTCGGGGGGGGGAGGGTAGTGACCACTCATTTCTTAAATTTGTGTTTCCCCCCGAAAATAGGAAAATCGCGTCGACCAATATTTCGCTCAGTTGGAGGGAGGGGGGGATGGAGTAAAGGAGCATTTATTATTTGTCATGTAGCACAACCTCTCCCCCACCCTTGAGCAAAAAAAGTAAAAAAAATTGACGGGGGGGGGGGTTAACCCCCGCAAACACCCCCACAAATGCGTTGCGACTGATGTAGAGCCCCCGACTCTGTGTTATTGGAGACTTACAGTTTTTAACATTCTTCTTTTTGATCGACACTATTGCTTGAATCACATTTTTGTTATTTTGGAAGATAGATTGATTCTTAGAGCAAAGTTTGTTCGTCATTTCCTCGCTTTGAATCAACGTAAAAGGCCATTAAACTAAAAATTAACATTGTGACTTTTCATTGGTGATCGAATGGAGATGCGAAGCCTGAGTTTAAAGGTAGGAGGTTTAAAGAAATCTTACCTCCGTCACAGGTTGAACCAGCTGGACAGGTGCACGTACCCGACTCACAAGTCTTTCCGTTCTCGCAACCCGCGTCAACGGTACAGGTGACTGTAAAGAGTCAATGACAATTGTGAACAAGTAGGAGATAGTCTGTATTTAAGTTCTTTTAATGACAATAAAACGACTGAAAAGAACCTGAACACGATGATGATGGTGATAATCATTAAGATTATTGTATTGATAACGACTGTGATGATGATAAATTCCGACGACTACAATGTCATTATACCAATTTTATACTATTCAGTTCTAAGTTTCAAACCGAGTCTCTGTCCCGTTTTTGTTCTAGATATGAACATAACTTCAGGACAAAGTAAAAACGGTCTACTGTCGTCATTGACATTCATTGAGCAGTTTCGGACTAATTGAGGCGATGAGTGTACCAAGATTCAAACGGATGGACCTTGCCGTTTTTACATGTATAACCTTTTGTGTGTAATTAGATTACTAAAGGTCCAAAACGTTCAAAAGCATGCGAATACAATCCGTTGATAATTAACTTTGCAGAAAACAAAACAAAACAAAACACACAATTTGTAAGTAGTTTTCGTTGTGTATCATAATGTAATTGATAAGACGAAAAGATCAGATCAGAGTAATATGTTGTCATTTGATAATTATACTCAATATTGTTGGGTAATCTTTAAATTGGAAAATAGCTTCGACCGATATTTTGCTCAGTGGGGAGAGGCGGAGGGGGGGGGGGGTATTGACAACTTATTATTACATTTTTGTTTGTTCCCGCATATGGGAAAATCGAGTCGACCAATATTTCGCTTAGTTGGGGGGAGGGGTTAAAGGAGCATTAATTAGTTTTGTTCATGCAGCACAACCCCTCCCCACCCTTAAGCGAAAAAAGGAAAATAGTGAGGAGGGTTTAACCCCCCCCCCCCTAACCATGCGTTTGCGACTGATGTAGAGCCCCAGACTCAGTGTTATTGGAGACTTCCAGTTTTCAACATTCTCCTTTTTGATCGACACTGTAGCTTGATTCACATTTTTGTTATTTTGGAAGATAGATTGATTCTTAGAGCAAAGTTTGTTCGTTAGTTCCTCGCTTTGAATCAACTATTAAAGGTCAATGAACTAAAATTAACATTGTGACTTTTCATTGGTGATCGAATGGAAATGCGAAGCCTGAGTTGAAAGGTTGGAGGTTTGAAGAAATCTTACCTCCGTCACAGGTTGAACCAGCTGGACAGGTGCACGTACCCGACTCACAAGTCTCTTCGTACCGGCAATCCGCGTTACCGGTACAGGTGACTGTAAAGAACCAATGATAATTGTAAACAAGTATGAGATGGTCTGTATTCAAGTTCTTTAAATGTCAATAAAAACGACTAAAAAGAACCTGAACACGATGATGATGGTGATAATCCTAAAGATAACGGTATTGATAACGACTGTGATGATGATGAATTACGACGACTGCAATGTCATTATACACATTTTATACTATTCAGTTCTAAGTTTCAAACCGAGTCACTGTACCGTTTTTGTTCTAGATATAAACATAACTTCAGGACAAAGTAAAAAGGGTCTACTGTCGTCATTGACATTCAGTGAGCAGTTTTGGATTAATTGAGGCGATAAGTGTACCAAGATTCAAACGGATGGACCGTGCCGTTTTTACATGTATAACCTTTTGCGTGTAATTAAATTACTAAAGGTCCAAAAGATTCAAAAGCATTTAGAAACCATTCTTTGATAATAACCTTTGCATAAATAATGACGGTGTTGAAGCAAAATAAGGCATATGGGCTCAAATTAAAATGCGCGCGAAATTTCGAAACTTTTTTAAATTGACATATCTACTCGACCACGACATGTTTCCCCATTCAGGCTTTTTATGGAGGCTTTTCTAACATAACATGAAGTCATGTTTGCAGACTGGATAGGAAGTCTTGTAGTTCAGTCATTGATGATATTTTAAAGGGACTCGGTAACATTCTTCAGATGAAACAAAATGGTGCTAAGGTAGTGACGTCAATACAGTGCCTTAAAATAACTTCACACGTAGCAGACCACTATGTCGACGTGCAAATCTAAAAGTCCCTAATGCAGAGACACAATCACAAAAGCCTTGACTGGCGAAGACATACCAAACACACACGTCTCAGTCACCTAGAAAAATAACCGAGACCCGAGCCCCGTCTTACAAAGAGTTACGATCGATCCAAATCAATCGTAAGTCCTCCAATCAATCGCAAGTTTGCAGTCTCCTATCTCTTATGTACATAGTTACGATTGATATCAATCGCAAATAAGTTACGATTGATATCAACTCTTTGTAAGACGGGGCCCCGATTAAACAAAAGTCACACAGAACGACATCAACACACAGAGCAAAACCTCCGTCGTTCAAAACGTCACGTCCGTAAACCAGATAGGTTGGACTTATAAAAACAAACAAAAACAAAACAAAACAAAACGCGCACATTGTATATAGTTCTTGTTATGTATCATAATGTAATTGATAAGACGAAAAGATGAGATCAGAGTAATATGTTGTGATTTGATAATTATGCTCAATATTCTTTGGTAATCTGGTATTTGGTAAATTGCGTCGACTGACATTTTGCTGAGTAGGGAAGAGGAGGGGTCGGGGGGGGGGGGGGGGGTAGTGACCACTCATTTCTTAAATTTGTGTTTCCCCCCGAAAATAGGAAAATCGCGTCGACCAATATTTCGCTCAGTTGGAGGGAGGGGGGGATGGAGTAAAGGAGCATTTATTATTTGTCATGTAGCACAACCTCTCCCCCACCCTTGAGCAAAAAAAGTAAAAAAAATTGACGGGGGGGGGGTTAACCCCCGCAAAAACCCCCACAAATGCGTTGCGACTGATGTAGAGCCCCCGACTCTGTGTTATTGGAGACTTACAGTTTTTAACATTCTTCTTTTTGATCGACACTATTGCTTGAATCACATTTTTGTTATTTTGGAAGATAGATTGATTCTTAGAGCAAAGTTTGTTCGTCATTTCCTCGCTTTGAATCAACGTAAAAGGCCATTAAACTAAAAATTAACATTGTGACTTTTCATTGGTGATCGAATGGAGATGCGAAGCCTGAGTTTAAAGGTAGGAGGTTTAAAGAAATCTTACCTCCGTCACAGGTTGAACCAGCTGGACAGGTGCACGTACCCGACTCACAAGTCTTTCCGTTCTCGCAACCCGCGTCAACGGTACAGGTGACTGTAAAGAGTCAATGACAATTGTGAACAAGTAGGAGATAGTCTGTATTTAAGTTCTTTTAATGACAATAAAACGACTGAAAAGAACCTGAACACGATGATGATGGTGATAATCATTAAGATTATTGTATTGATAACGACTGTGATGATGATAAATTCCGACGACTACAATGTCATTATACCAATGTTATACTATTCAGTTCTAAGTTTCAAACCGAGTCTCTGTCCCGTTTTTGTTCTAGATATGAACATAACTTCAGGACAAAGTAAAAACGGTCTACTGTCGTCATTGACATTCATTGAGCAGTTTCGGACTAATTGAGGCGATGAGTGTACCAAGATTCAAACGGATGGACCTTGCCGTTTTTACATGTATAACCTTTTGTGTGTAATTAGATTACTAAAGGTCCAAAACGTTCAAAAGCATGCGAATACAATCCGTTGATAATTAACTTTGCAGAAAACAAAACAAAACAAAACACACAATTTGTAAGTAGTTTTCGTTGTGTATCATAATGTAATTGATAAGACGAAAAGATCAGATCAGAGTAATATGTTGTCATTTGATAATTATACTCAATATTGTTGGGTAATCTTTAAATTGGAAAATAGCTTCGACCGATATTTTGCTCAGTGGGGAGAGGCGGAGGGGGGGGGGGGGTATTGACAACTTATTATTACATTTTTGTTTGTTCCCGCATATGGGAAAATCGAGTCGACCAATATTTCGCTTAGTTGGGGGGAGGGGTTAAAGGAGCATTAATTAGTTTTGTTCATGCAGCACAACCCCTCCCCACCCTTAAGCGAAAAAAGGAAAATAGTGAGGAGGGTTTAACCCCCCCCCCCCTAACCATGCGTTTGCGACTGATGTAGAGCCCCAGACTCAGTGTTATTGGAGACTTCCAGTTTTCAACATTCTCCTTTTTGATCGACACTGTAGCTTGATTCACATTTTTGTTATTTTGGAAGATAGATTGATTCTTAGAGCAAAGTTTGTTCGTTAGTTCCTCGCTTTGAATCAACTATTAAAGGTCAATGAACTAAAATTAACATTGTGACTTTTCATTGGTGATCGAATGGAAATGCGAAGCCTGAGTTGAAAGGTTGGAGGTTTGAAGAAATCTTACCTCCGTCACAGGTTGAACCAGCTGGACAGGTGCACGTACCCGACTCACAAGTCTCTTCGTACCGGCAATCCGCGTTACCGGTACAGGTGACTGTAAAGAACCAATGATAATTGTAAACAAGTATGAGATGGTCTGTATTCAAGTTCTTTAAATGTCAATAAAAACGACTAAAAAGAACCTGAACACGATGATGATGGTGATAATCCTAAAGATAACGGTATTGATAACGACTGTGATGATGATGAATTACGACGACTGCAATGTCATTATACACATTTTATACTATTCAGTTCTAAGTTTCAAACCGAGTCACTGTACCGTTTTTGTTCTAGATATAAACATAACTTCAGGACAAAGTAAAAAGGGTCTACTGTCGTCATTGACATTCAGTGAGCAGTTTTGGACTAATTGAGGCGATAAGTGTACCAAGATTCAAACGGATGGAGCGTGCCGTTTTTACATGTATAACCTTTTACGTGTAATTAAATTACTTAAAGTCCAAAAGATTCAAAAGCATTTAGAAACCATTCTTTGATAATAACCTTTGCATAAATAATGACGGTGTTGAAGCAAAATAAGGCATATGGGCTCAAATTAAAATGCGCGCGAAATTTCGAAACTTTTTTAAATTGACATATCTACTCGATCACGACATGTTTCCCCATTCAGGCTTTTTATGGAGGCTTTTCTAACATAACATGAAGTCATGTTTGCAGACTGGATAGGAAGTCTTGTAGTTCAGTCATTGATGATATTTTAAAGGGACTCGGTAACATTCTTCAGATGAAACAAAATGGTGCTAAGGTAGTGACGTCAATACAGTGCCTTAAAATAACTTCACACGTAGCAGACCACTATGTCGACGTGCAAATCTAAAAGTCCCTAATGCAGAGACACAATCACAAAAGCCTTGACTGGCGAAGACATACCAAACACACACGTCTCAGTCACCTAGAAAAATAACCGAGACCCGAGCCCCGTCTTACAAAGAGTTACGATCGATCCAAATCAATCGTAAGTCCTCCAATCAATCGCAAGTTTGCAGTCTCCTATCTCTTATGTACATAGTTACGATTGATATCAATCGCAAATAAGTTACGATTGATATCAACTCTTTGTAAGACGGGGCCCCGATTAAACAAAAGTCACACAGAACGACATCAACACACAGAGCAAAACCTCCGTCGTTCAAAACGTCACGTCCGTAAACCAGATAGGTTGGACTTATAAAAACAAACAAAAACAAAACAAAACAAAACGCGCACTTTGTATATAGTTCTTGTTATGTATCATAATGTAATTGATAAGACGAAAAGATGAGATCAGAGTAATATGTTGTGATTTGATAATTATGCTCAATATTGTTTGGTAATCTGGTACAATGTATTTGGTAAATTGCGTCGACTGACATTTTGCTGAGTAGGGAAGAGGAGGGGTCGGGGGGGGGGGTGGGAGGGTAGTGACCACTCATTTCTTAAATTTGTGTTTCCCCCGAAAATAGGAAAATCGCGTCGACCAATATTTCGCTCAGTTGGAGGGAGGGGGGGATGGAGTAAAGGAGCATTTATTATTTGTCATGTAGCACAACCTCTCCCCCACCCTTGAGCAAAAAAAGTAAAAAAAATTGACGGGGGGGGGGTTAACCCCCGCAAACACCCCCACAAATGCGTTGCGACTGATGTAGAGCCCCCGACTCTGTGTTATTGGAGACTTACAGTTTTTAACATTCTTCTTTTGATCGACACTATTGCTTGAATCACATTTTTGTTATTTTGGAAGATAGATTGATTCTTAGAGCAAAGTTTGTTCGTCATTTCCTCGCTTTGAATCAACGTAAAAGGCCATTAAACTAAAAATTAACATTGTGACTTTTCATTGGTGATCGAATGGAGATGCGAAGCCTGAGTTTAAAGGTAGGAGGTTTAAAGAAATCTTACCTCCGTCACAGGTTGAACCAGCTGGACAGGTGCACGTACCCGACTCACAAGTCTTTCCGTTCTCGCAACCCGCGTCAACGGTACAGGTGACTGTAAAGAGTCAATGACAATTGTGAACAAGTAGGAGATAGTCTGTATTTAAGTTCTTTTAATGACAATAAAACGACTGAAAAGAACCTGAACACGATGATGATGGTGATAATCATTAAGATTATTGTATTGATAACGACTGTGATGATGATAAATTCCGACGACTACAATGTCATTATACCAATTTTATACTATTTAGTTCTAAGTTTCAAACCGAGTCTCTGTCCCGTTTTTGTTCTAGATATGAACATAACTTCAGGACAAAGTAAAAACGGTCTACTGTCGTCATTGACATTCATTGAGCAGTTTCGGACTATTTGAGGCGATAAGTGTACCAAGATTCAAACGGATGGACCTTGCCGTTTTTACATGTATAACCTTTTGTGTGTAATTAGATTACTAAAGGTCCAAAACGTTCAAAAGCATGCGAATACAATCCGTTGATAATTAACTTTGCAGAAAACAAAACAAAACAAAACACACAATTTGTAAGTAGTTTTCGTTGTGTATCATAATGTAATTGATAAGACGAAAAGATCAGATCAGAGTAATATGTTGTCATTTGATAATTATACTCAATATTGTTGGGTAATCTTTAAATTGGAAAATAGCTTCGACCGATATTTTGCTCAGTGGGGAGAGGCGGAGGGGGGGGGGGGGGGTATTGACAACTTATTATTACATTTTTGTTTGTTCCCGCATATGGGAAAATCGAGTCGACCAATATTTCGCTTAGTTGGGGGGAGGGGTTAAAGGAGCATTAATTAGTTTTGTTCATGCAGCACAACCCCTCCCCACCCTTAAGCGAAAAAAGGAAAATAGTGAGGAGGGTTTAACCCCCCCCCCCCCTAACCATGCGTTTGCGACTGATGTAGAGCCCCAGACTCAGTGTTATTGGAGACTTCCAGTTTTCAACATTCTCCTTTTTGATCGACACTGTAGCTTGATTCACATTTTGTTATTTTGGAAGATAGATTGATTCTTAGAGCAAAGTTTGTTCGTTAGTTCCTCGCTTTGAATCAACTATTAAAGGTCAATGAACTAAAATTAACATTGTGACTTTTCATTGGTGATCGAATGGAAATGCGAAGCCTGAGTTGAAAGGTTGGAGGTTTGAAGAAATCTTACCTCCGTCACAGGTTGAACCAGCTGGACAGGTGCACGTACCCGACTCACAAGTCTCTTCGTACCGGCAATCCGCGTTACCGGTACAGGTGACTGTAAAGAACCAATGATAATTGTAAACAAGTATGAGATGGTCTGTATTCAAGTTCTTTAAATGTCAATAAAAACGACTAAAAAGAACCTGAACACGATGATGATGGTGATAATCCTAAAGATAACGGTATTGATAACGACTGTGATGATGATGAATTACGACGACTGCAATGTCATTATACACATTTTATACTATTCAGTTCTAAGTTTCAAACCGAGTCACTGTACCGTTTTTGTTCTAGATATAAACATAACTTCAGGACAAAGTAAAAAGGGTCTACTGTCGTCATTGACATTCAGTGAGCAGTTTTGGACTAATTGAGGCGATAAGTGTACCAAGATTCAAACGGATGGAGCGTGCCGTTTTTACATGTATAACCTTTTACGTGTAATTAAATTACTTAAAGTCCAAAAGATTCAAAAGCATTTAGAAACCATTCTTTGATAATAACCTTTGCATAAATAATGACGGTGTTGAAGCAAAATAAGGCATATGGGCTCAAATTAAAATGCGCGCGAAATTTCGAAACTTTTTTAAATTGACATATCTACTCGACCACGACATGTTTCCCAATTCAGGCTTTTTATGGAGGCTTTTCTAACATAACATGAAGTCATGTTTGCAGACTGGATAGGAAGTCTTGTAGTTCAGTCATTGATGATATTTTAAAGGGACTCGGTAACATTCTTCAGATGAAACAAAATGGTGCTAAGGTAGTGACGTCAATACAGTGCCTTAAAATAACTTCACACGTAGCAGACCACTATGTCGACGTGCAAATCTAAAAGTCCCTAATGCAGAGACACAATCACAAAAGCCTTGACTGGCGAAGACATACCAAACACACACGTCTCAGTCACCTAGAAAAATAACCGAGACCCGAGCCCCGTCTTACAAAGAGTTACGATCGATCCAAATCAATCGTAAGTCCTCCAATCAATCGCAAGTTTGCAGTCTCCTATCTCTTATGTACATAGTTACGATTGATATCAATCGCAAATAAGTTACGATTGATATCAACTCTTTGTAAGACGGGGCCCCGATTAAACAAAAGTCACACAGAACGACATCCACACACAGAGCAAAACCTCCGTCGTTCAAAACGTCACGTCCGTAAACCAGATAGGTTGGACTTATAAAAACAAACAAAAACAAAACAAAACAAAACGCGCACATTGTATATAGTTCTTGTTGTGTATCATAATGTAATTGATAAGACGAAAAGATGAGATCAGAGTAATATGTTGTGATTTGATAATTATGCTCAAGATTGTTTGGTAATCTTGTATTTGGTAAATTGCGTCGACTGACATTTTGCTGAGTAGGGAAGAGGAGGGGCGGCGGGGGGGGGGGGAGGGTAGTGACCACTCATTTCTTAAATTTGTGTTTCCCCCCGAAAATAGGAAAATCGCGTCGACCAATTTTTCGCTCAGTTGGAGGGAGGGGGGGGGGATGGAGTAAAGGAGCATTTATTATTTGTCATGTAGCACAACCTCTCCCCCACCCTTGAGCGAAAAAAGCGAAAAAAAATTGACGGGGGGGGGGGTCAACCCCCGCAAACACCCCCACAAATGCGTTCACGACTGATGTAGAGCTTCCGACTCAGTGTTTTTGGAGACTTACAGTTTTTAACAGTTTCGATCGACACTATTGCTTGATTCACATTTTTGTTATTTTGGAAGATAGATTGATTCTTAGAGCAAAGTTTGTTCGTCAGTTCCTCGCTTTGAATCAACGTAAAAGGCCATTGAACTAAAAATTAACATTGTGACTTTTCATTGGTGATCGAATGGAGATGCGAAGCCTGAGTTTAAAGGTAGGAGGTTTGAAGAAATCTTACCTCCGTCACAGGTTGAACCAGCTGGACGGTTTTGAAGCAAAATAAGGCTTATGATTTGCTCTAAACAAGACGCGCGTGACCACTTATTTTTTATTTTTTTGTTTACCTCCTCAAATGGGAAAAATCGCTCAGATATTTTCACTTTGTAAACAGTTCTTGTTGTGTATCATAATGTTATTGATAATAGGAAAAGATTATATCAGAGTAATAAGTTGTGATTCATAATTATGATCAATATTGTTTGGTATTCTTTACTAATTGTACATTAAAAACAATGAAATGCATATGTGACTTGAAATGATTTAAGCATAGTGCCTGATATCTCAGTGCTTCTATTCAGCGTGGTGCATTGCTAGAACTTCAACGTCCTTGTTCTTTGATCCTGATATATCTTTTAGTTGTTTAATCTTTTCATGATCTTTAAATTACATACCTAATGGTTAAGGATTTTCTATGCGGGATATGCCATAAGTCTGTTCTGGTAAATCAAAAAGGTCTATTATGCACACATTATAGAAAATGGTAAATAAATCATGCGCTCATGTGTCTGACGCATCATATAATGATCCCTCTGAACTATTCATAGCGTGGATCTGCATATTCTGGCCCGATTCACAAAGGAGATTTGACGACATCCCGAGGTTTATGTACGTCATATGACGCGTTTTGACGCATTTTTTACAAACCTAGTTTGTAAAAACGCGTCGAAACGCGTCATATGACGCACGAAAACCAAGGTTTGTCGACAAACCTCCTTTTTGAATTCGGGCCGTTGTGTTTTGAAAAAGTTACCCTTTTATCATAATCATCCATCAGAATTGGAGAGAAGTAAACGACAGTAGAAACGGGATAGGCATTTTAATAAAAACAAGTTATCAGTCCAGTAGAATATACTCTAAATTATGTGATAAAGGTGTCAAATTTGTTCATTTGAACATCGTTAGCTTATTGAAGCATTTTGATGAAATTGGGTCTATATTATGCAATAATGATATTTACGTTTCAGCTCTAAATGAGACCGGCTTGATAATTCAGTTGCAGATAGTGAAATAAGTATACCTCATTTCATTTCAATGTAATTAGGAATGATAGAGACAGAATAGGTGGAGGAGTTGTCATATACATAAATGACAATGTTACATTTGAAAAGTTAATAGTGCCTAGTTCAGTAGATCAACTTGAAGTTATTTGCATTCTGATTCGTTTAAAGCATACAAAGCCTTTTATTTTTATAAATTGGTATCGACCGCCAAGTAAAACACATCTATTGGAGTCCTATGAAGAATTGCTGTTATATTTAGGAGGATTTTATACTCTTTTTTGATGAAAGCTTCGAGTAATTATTATGTAAACGTACATTGTACATTGTAAAGCGCTTTGAGAGTGCCTTTGGTCCTGAAATGCGCTATAAAAGAACGAACTATTATTATTATTATTATATATTAATAATATTAATCGGCGATGTTAATTATAACATTGCCAAGATACCACTTATTTTCGATACTCGTAAATATTCACAAATTAATGATATATATGGTTTGTGTCAAATTAATCAATCGTACTCGAGTAACGCCTGAGTGCTCATCATTAATTGATCACATGTTAACAACTTGCCCAGACAAAGTAAGCTCTTTTGGTGTCTTACACAATGGTTTGAGTGATCATTATAATTATGAGTTACTTAGTCTGGAAAGCTCAGGTCAATCATGATGATTCTTTTGTAAATTATGTAATATTTAGGCAATCTCATCAGGTAGACTTTGAAAAGTTGAATGCCGATCTTAGATCGCAGAAATGAGATGAGGTAGAAGAAGGTATTGACCTCAATAACGCTGTAAACAAATGGGAAGTACTCTTTTAGACACAATAGACAAATACATGCCGTTGAAGAAGAAAAGGGTACGCAAAAAACACTCCCCTTGGTTGAATGAATGTATATTTAAGCTCATGAAAGATCATGATAAAATGAAAGGTAAAGCAAAGACGAAAAAACAAGACGTTTACTGGAAACAATACATTTGAGAAAACACTTGAGAAATAAAGTAATGTTTGAAATAAGGAGAGTAAAGAAAAAATATTTCGTTGAAAAACTAGATGCTTGTACGGATAGAGCGAAATATTGGAGAGTATTAAAAGCACTGATTCCCAATACGAAATCAGCTACGAATTTTCCCTTCCCTATCGATGAATGTAAAAGAGTAGCAAATGATTTTAACGAACATTTTGTCAATGTTGGAAAACAATTTGATAGCAGTAATGGTAATAAATGTATCAGTTACGAAGAGTTTGAAAGTACAGAAGCCATTGAGAGCAAAGAAAATATCTTTTCTGTTCCTGTGTTACATAGTCAGATGTTCTGAAAGAAATCTATCGACTAAAGAATAAGATATCAGTTGGGGTTGATGAAATAGATTCTTACATGCTGAAAGCCTGTGCACTGGAAATTGTGAAACCTCTCACATATTTAATTAATAGGTCATTGTCTGAAGGTAGAGTTCCTTCCAGAAGGAAGGTGGCTAAGGTCATTCCCACTACATAAAAAGGGTGATAAAGCTTTAGCTAATAATTACAGATCTTTATTAACGTGCTTGTCCAAAATTTTAGAAAACATTGTACAAAAACACTCAATTCGATTTTTGGAAAAAACAACATTTTAACCAAAGATCAATCGGGATTCAGGCCGAATGGCTTCAATTAGTTAAGAAGGGTTTATAATTATACAGGAGCCCTTCATGTCGATGTGCGAAAAGCATTCGATTTGGTCGATCACAGAATTCTCTTGAGAAAATTGTCTGATTTTGGTATAAATGGTATACTGCACAAGTAGTTTTATTAATATTTGGTTAACCGTCAAATGTTTACTTCGATTAAAATGTTTCTTTCAATGAATTGATATTAACGTATGGTGTCCCTCAAGGCTCCATACTTGGCCCAATTTTATTTCTAATATACAACAACTTCTCATTATTGCCATCTACATTTATATGCAGATGACACAGTTATTTATTTCTCAAATGTAAACCCTATTGTTGTACAGTCTGTTCCTAATAATGAATTAATTTCTCTTTCTGATAGGATGTGCCATAACAAACTTTATATAAATTGTGAAAAAACAGTATCTATGTTAATGGGAACGAAGTCAATGCTTCATAAACATCAAACATTAAACTTAAAACTAGGTGGTAATGTTATTAATCAGGTTCAGAACATAAAATACCTAAGAATGAATATAGACTCTGAATTAAAATGGGATTTATATTTATGTGAAGTAATTAGGAAAGTAGTAGACAAAGATTTGTTTTGTTTTATTTTGTGCCTCTAATGAGGTGTTTATTTACATTCAAACATGAAAATAAAGTTGTGAGAACAAATACAATTGACGCACAATTTTATCAATAGAGATCACATGTTTTTTTATTAACTATACAATATTTTGCTACTTTTCATCTAAATTGCTTGTAACAGTTTCTTTGGCAAACTCTGATCTGGCTTTTTAAGCTCCTGATTTACAACAATTCTGTTTTTGATTTCTCTTTCAAATACGTATCTTAGTTTGAAACGGTTTTCATTAAATCCATACTTATTCCGGGTGACTAACATTTTGTATATACACCAGAATGCGATCGTTGTTACAACGTCTATCTCTCTGTCAATATTAATCTTAAGTAAACAGGAGATATCCATGACAAAATCAATATTAAAAGTGTACTTCACAACATGTTTGATATCATCAAAGAAATTCTTATTCTGTTCACATTGGATAAACACATGCACTATGTCCTCTATGACATGACACTTGGGACAGTATCTGTCGTCTGCTAATCCCCATTTGTAAAGATTGTTTCTAACAGGTAGTATGTTGTACAGCAATTTAAAATTGAACTCCCTTAAGCGATGTTCCCTTGTATATGTTAAATTCCTTTTGAACACGAAGACCAGTCAACAGTTCTTTGTAGTATATTTCCCCCAAAAAGACAGCACCTGTTGTTGTTGAATATATGTTTAAAAAATATCAGGTTGTAGAAACGTTTGCTGCTTACGTCACTGATAGGTAAGGACACTCTTCCAAATTTAAAATAAGAAATTCCAAGAGGGTGAATATAATATACTGGTTCAGTTTCTTCCTTGGTAAGATCACTGAACCATATCCTTGGGATATTTTTCTTTAATTTATGGATTTAGTATAATCGAATAAACAAAAATGGTAAACTTTTTGGGAAGGCTGAGACACATTTTAAATGAATCTTTTCTCTAATTTATCAATCAATTTATCAATTAATAGTCATTCCTCATTTTGATTATGGTGACATTATATGGCAAGCTTCCCCAAAAAACTATCTGGACCAACTTCAAAACTTCAAAATAGGGCTGGTAGGATAATCCTTAAGATAAACCCTCATAATCATACTTCAACATTTCAGAATCACGATCTCTTAAAATGGGAATCCCTAAAAACCAGATGTAAAAAGCACATGTTAATAATGCTGTATAAGATTTTCCACAATTTAAGTTCAGATTACGCCTAATTTTCATGCAACAACGTCCATCCCGTAATACACAAAAATCCGGCTAGTATTGATTTTACACACGGGAAGGATAGGGGGTGCTTTCAAAGGAAGGGAACATACATCCGCGTACCCTAAATAACACTGAGTGGGGGCCGAGCTTGTAATGCAAAATTATTTAGTTACAGGAAATGAAAAACGAACCTACTTGAAAGCAATGCTTGTTAGGTGTAGATTAAGGTTCATGTTAAGTTTCATGTTCGGTTAACCCTAATAAGGCCGGGCTATTTGAGGTCTTAGTATGGCCGGGGGGGGGCCATTATGGCCCCCCCTTAAGATCTCGGCCGCGAAGCGGCCGATCGCCGCGAAAATTTGCACGCATGTCAAGTGAAGTGTATAGAATAATATGATAATTTCAATTTTTTGAAAACTTCACTCATTTGCATATTTATGGTAATTTATGCAAATAAAGTCATAAAACTCACATTTTTACCCATAAATCATATATTATTCATAATTAGGCATTCTTTTTCACTACATATATTCATTAGACCATTCTGAATAATAATACAACAAAAAAATTTGGAAGAGCTAGCTTATTCCTTATGTTATCCCTTGTTTTGATAATTTCTTATGTATTTCATTGTTTTTTTAACTTATGTATTTCATTGTTTTTGTTGTTTTATTTCATTTCTTACTACAATTCAACTATTTTGACACCCAAAACAACCACCTAAACTTTAAACAAGACCAAATAACCCATGTTTGATCTGTTTTTAGGAAAAATGACTTTTCCATATGTTTTGTACACAAATCACGAAAATGAGCGGTTTTCGGGCTGACATGCAAAGACAAAAGGTCACGTGACCTTGTAACCGTAGGTCCGATTTTCAAAAAAATTCTTTTAAAAGTTGCGCAAGACTCGAAAGAAAAAAGTCAGCGAGTGGCGGGGCGCCATCCATTTGCGTTTTCGAGCAATCAGAAAACTCGTGGAGGGGGGGGGCCATAATGGCCCCCCCGGCCTTATTAGGGTTAAGTTCCATGTTTTTCCTTCTTACCCCCCCCCCCCCCTCTCTCTCTCTCTCTTTTTTTCATTTCTCCTTCTATCTTCTTTTCTTTTTCTTCTTTTC